GACTGATTTGATTAGAAAAGAACACAAGTGTTTTATTAGTGAGCTTCGGATATTATACAACATAATCGCGTAATGACCTATTTGCGTAATCGCCCCACCCGGAGCTAGTCACTAGCTATCTCCGGCACGCCCGGATTCAGGAGGCGGTCCAGCGCATGGGAAAATAATCGACCGAGCTGCGGTAGCCGCAGCGGGGCTCCAAGGCTATTTTTACCAGCATCGTAAATGCACCGCCGGCGCCGTGTCGTGTGGGACTGCCCCAAACTGGTGCTTCTAGCGAATCTCTCTCGGGCCGATACCACCACCCACCTCTCTACTGTCGCCAGTCCATCTGGACACATTTGTCGCGCGTTCGATTCTTTACGGTCCCAAATTTTCTTTGTGCGGCGCACGTATTGCCACCCTCACTGTCGCCAGTGACCCCACCCCTCATGAGCTCGTTCCTCCAGTACAAGCTCGTGCTCCTCGGCGAGCTGGCGGTGGGCAAGCTGCTGATTGTCCACCGGTTCGTCAAGAACACCTTCGACGACATGCGCGAGCTGACCATCGGCGCCGCCTTCCTCACCCAGCTGGTGACGCTTAGCGACGGCACCACCGTCAAATTCGAGATCTGGGACACCGCCGGCCAGGAGAGATATAAGAGTCTTGCCCCGATGTACTACCGCCACCTGAACGCTGCCCTCTGTGTCTATGACGTCACCCTGGCGGCGCTGTTTGAGCGGGCTAAGGACTGGATCGAGGAATTGCACAAACTTGCCCCTAAAGATATCGTGATTGCTCTCGTTGGCAATAAAAACGATTTAGACGGCCAACAGGTGGACCAGGCGACCGTTGAAGAGTACGTGGCAACGCTTCCGGGCCAGGTGATCGTCACTACCTGTTCGGCGAAAACCGGGAGTGGAGTCCAGGAGATCTTCACCGCCATCGCCGAGAAGTTGCCGAAAGAGGCACCGCTGCTGCTGCTGCCGCGAGGCGCCCAGCTGGGGGTCAACTTGGACCGCCGCCCGCAGCCCCAGCTGGGTTGCTGCTAGCATTATTTAATGACCACACATTTATGAGGATGAAATTGTAGCCAGTTACGAGATCGACTTGATAGGTACTACGGGAATTGATCTGATCACCTGCTCTAACTACGTATCGGTGGTTGTAATTATCGATTCGTGAGAAGTTGTCGCCCTCATTGTCACCAGAGAGTAACACAGTTCTGAACACAAGTAGCCAAAACGATAGTTCGTTGGTAGATAATGAATTGAATTATGCTGACTCTAGACCAATGCCTCGTAATCAATGCTATCGTATCTAGTGCTGACACTACGATGAGGTCGATCCCTAATGAAGCGTACTGACTACAGAGACAGGTGACTCTGAGTCGTCGTGATAAACCTTATGAAATACAATCCTCTAAATCAATTGTCGCAACAACCAACACAAACAAACCTCTTATCGATCATTCAATTCAGGTATCAATTTTCATTGTCATTAATTGGTTCTGTCAACAACTTTCCCCCTGATCTAATCCATGTTAATAGTATACAATCGGTTTTAGCAACACCGGGTACCCCAACCTGGTATTGATTGAATCCGTGTATCCAACGTACCCGAATCAATCGGCATCTATCATTACAGTTAGCATCAGTTTAGCAGTCACCACCATTAGTGATCACAGTGACAAGTACTATGAAACTTAGACTTATTTGATTCACGTAAACTCCAAGGTAAGGTGTTGGCAGACTACCATGAAACTTATGATGAAACTACATTAATGTAAAGTTATCAAAGGGTAAATTAGCTAACTAATCTATTCTCTGAAAGTGGCGGTGAACGCTTCCGAGGCGGACTTGGCGTTCTTGGCCTTGGGCAACTTAGCCTTCTTCGATTGCTCGGCGGCGTAGACCTTGGCGTAAGGGTTGAGTCTCAACATAACCTGCTTGTTCTTCAAGGGGTTCTTCTTTTGCACGTGAGTTCTCTTTTGAGTGGGTTGGCCGGCGGGTCTCACCACGGCTTGGATTTCCGACGAGTTGATGATTCTGGTGATGTCGGTGTTGGTGATGATGTTCAGGGGCAACGAGTAGTTGGCCTTGGCCGACTGGGTCGATTCCGAGCCGTAGACGGTGTCCAAGGCTTCGAAGGCGGCCTGGGTCCAGATGACGAATCTCCCCAAGTGGGCACCAGGGGCCAATTGCAACAAGCCCAAAGCGGTGACGGGGGCGGTTTCAACACCGGGGACGTTGCGCAAAGCCTTGACAATACCGTTGTCTTGGGCGTAGACCACCAAGGGACCTCTGCGTTGAGTGGTTCTTCTGCCTCTCATCTTACCCTTACCGGCTCTCAACTTCTTCAGCTTGACCACCTTGAGGATGTCCGACCCGGCACCGACGGCCTTGAGCACGGCGACGGCTTCCTTGGTCTTCTTGACCGACTCAAAGTCGTTGGCGACGATCAAGGGCAATTCTTGCACTTGTTCGACTCTGTGGCCTCTGGCCTGGACCAACGAGGTGACACCGGAGGCGGCGATGGCCGAGGCGGTGGCGTAGCGCTTCTCGTTGTGGTTGACGCGCACGTGCCAGCGTCTCCAGATCTTGGTGGGGGCGAACATGTTACCGCCACGGGCCATGTTAGCACGGGCACCCGAGCCCGAGGCGTGGGTACCACCACCGCCGATTCTGGGAAGACGGGCGACGGCTCTACCGGTACCCCACGACTCCGACGAGCCTTGCTTACCAGCCATGACGTTGACGGCGTAAGCTTGACGCTTGTTCTTGTTGATGCGGGTGAACACCGAGTGGACCACGTCGGCTCTGATGGGAGCGCTGAACACAGCGGGGACGGGCACTTGGGTCAGGGTCTTGTCGCCAGTGACGGAGATGACGGTGGCTTGGGGTCTCGACATTGGTATAGTGATGGAGATGAGTGAAAAGTTTTTTAGCTTTTCAGTAACTGCGCGCACGGCGCCCTGCGCGCTCGCTGAGACTTCCTAAACACGTGACTAGGGTTATAACCCTAGCACCCTCGTATCGGGCCGAGAGTCGCGCTCGCGTACCCACATACTTAGCCGGCGATGACGCGCAAACGATGCTGTTCCTTGCATCCGAGTGAGCTGATCAAAACCCTCATGGCCGCTAACGCCGCCGAAAGCGGCGCTCGCCCCGGAATTCATTCTCCGGCAGAAGCGCCATCACCCTGCCGCCGCCAGCAACACCGCTAAATTGCCGTTTTCGTAGAGTATACCTATGAGCGATAATTATGGCGACAGCGGTGGTGGTGGTGTAACTACTGACGTCGTCGACGGGTTCCCGGGGTTGCGGCGCCCTCGGCCACGTTTCAGGTTTACTAACATGGGTGTCACCCCGCCTACGCGAAGCTCTCGTCAATTGAGTGAGGGGTTAGGGGTGAGCGTGGCGTTTGAGGTTTACCTGACAGGTGAAACCGTGTATCAGATGGCAGATACTCGTAGACAGCGATGCCGGTTCCGGCATCCGATCTAGACCCTCGCTCCCCCCCTCTCTGTCAAACTATCCCCCTAAACCTCTCAGGCTGCTGGCAAGGGCGCTTGGGGGAGGGGGCGGCGCACGTGACTCCCTGGAAGGGTGTTATTCCGATTGTTACCCCGACACCGCCGACACCGCCTCTTCTTACCTGGTAAATTCGAAACAGGGGTCCGGTTTCATCATGAGAAATCGCCAAAAAATGGGGGGAAGAGGTGTCAGTGACCGCATTAGTGACGAGTCGGTGACATCGGGGGGGCGCTCGCTCGTCGGCACCGCTGAAGGTGGTGGCGAGTGGGTTAAGTTGTGGGAGATAATTTTCCGTTACGAGCCCTAGCATTACTGTGACTTTTACCCACTATTATCTGTGAATCGAGCCCGGGGGCTTCACAATAACGAACGGCGCTATGTACGGGCCATGCCGGGTGGGCCATGCTTGTACGCCCCGCAGATAATAACCTGCACGGGGTGCATAGACAGGAATGTGGAGGCAGAACTACGCAGGAACTCAGGCTTCTCGAAGACGTATGGACCATAAAGCCATCAACCCTCCCCGAAAAAAATCACCCTTCCCACCCCTCGATACTACCAAGTTTCCTCTATCCACCATGGCCCTGCGACGACGCCTGGTATCGGGGTACGAACGCCAGCGCCGCCCCCATTCCAAGCTGCGGATGGGGTGTGACAACTGCAAACGCCGCCGAATCAAGTGTTCCGAACAGTTCCCCCAGTGTATCGAGTGCACCCGACACAAGGTGGTGTGTCTGTACTCCCGAATGGCCCCGGAAGACCAGCAGCGCTGGCTCTCGAAGAAGTCTGACGACCAGCGGGGTTCGTGGTCCGCCGCCGCCGCTGACCCCGACCTCGTCCCTCAGGGAGTCTACAGCGACCACTTGGCGTGGATCCCCGTCCAGTACCACTTCCCTGGACTGCCGGGGGCCCCTAGTGGCCCGGCGCTGGCGCCACCGCTGCTGGGACCCCCGCTCCAAATGGGACCGCCGATGGCGCCCCCCATCCACCACCAGTACGGCTCCAGCCAGTTACCCCCGTTACAATTGCCCACCAGCTCTCCGTTGGCGCTTCCCACGGCGCCATCATCGCTTTCAGAGGCACTGGCATCGTTCTACCACCAACAAGGCCCCGTGCCTTTCCCCTTATCTCTGGCGCCATCCTTAGGAGGCCAGGGAAGCCAGGGACTCCCCCATATGGTGCTGGGCCAGTCTCCCATTGGCCAATCATTGCCTGGCTATCTGAACGTGGTGCTGGGCTACGGCGATATCGACGACCACTACCGCGTTTGACTATCCCCGGCCAACCCTGCTCCCCCACCACCCGACCATCCACCTCAGTCCATGGAGCTAAGGGCGGCCCTGAATGCCAACGATGAGGTGGACTCCGATCCTACCTCACCCAATGCAAAACCACCACCACCATCAGACCAAGCTGAACGGTAACCACCACGCTGCTGACCCAGCGAGCATTTTCATTAACTACAAGAGCTTCAATTCAACCATTAAGGGCAACATTTTCAACAATGTCCAAGCTATCATGCCCTCATCCATCAACGGATAGGGGGTACGCGAACATATCTTCAGTTTTATAGCAAAATTTAAGAGAAGTGCCACTTCAGCAACTTGTAATGTGATGTGATGATCACAATGCTATCACAATAAATACTATCGTGCCTTGACACTGTAATACAATTACTGATTCGACTACTCCATCTTAGTGTATTCTCTATCATTGATTGTCCTATCTTCATCACAATTGTATTATTTATCACTAGTGACCAGCACCTCCGTCATGTGTCTCTTCCACGGGTATCGGGGCCTATCGTAAATTACATTGGAAACAATAGGCACGGCAATACACGCTGGCGACCCTAGTGACGCCACCACCCTCGTTTCTCGCGATAATTGTTGACGAAAGTGTAATTGCCCTCAGCTTCTCTAGCTTCCTAAACCGGCGCGTACCCATCATGGGCCCACTCCCTCGTGGTTCCCACAGCCATAACCCGCAGCCCTCACCCGCGTCAACATCCCGCTTCACCCCCCAGGTGAAATTGCCGACGTCAGCGGTAATCACTCAGGGCTCGCTGCCGGTTTAGGAGTATTACTGATTGAATATAAAAAATAATATCTACATGACAGCTATGCGACACCTATGCGGTAACACAGACAGCAAGCTACTACTGACTACGACGCTCGAGTAACCCGGCGGCGCCCGTGTCTGCGTCATCGCCCTTTCCTCAACCGCGGCGTGATCGCCCAGAGAGTATCGCTCTGAGGGCTGGTGGCCGAACGCTCACATCGCGGGGCTGCTGACGTCATCGACCGCCACACCACTACTGAAAGGTGTGGGTGCAAACAGGAAAAAAATATGGGTGGGACACACTCACCCGTCAAGTGTGAGCCGAGAGTGAGCCTCGTCAAGCCACTTACGGCTGCTGGTGGCACTCTTCGTTGGCGTCTGATTCGCATTCGTATCTGCCGCTGGATCCGTGGCCATTGCATCTTGTGCCTCGACCCTGGCCCCGAAAACGAGAAGGTGACACGCATCGAAGCTTAGTGAGGGGTTGGGACAAAGTCAATGGTTTTTCCACGCCAAATTCCTGGTAAATTGTGCTCTGAACGTGTTAATAGCTAGCCAAAGCCCCGAGCCATTGGCAACAAGCCCCCATAGCCCCTCTTGGTCACTGATCTTCGGGATCTGCGAGATCGCTGGCCAGTGCTGCTTACACTAAACGCGAGGTGCGGGGGTTCGCTGCCGGCGAGGGGCTTTGTGCGCCGTGAGCTTTGGGGGCTATGCACGGGGCCCCACCGCGCCACAGAAGCCAAAGACCCTAAACCCGTCGTCGTCCGCTTTTTCTGAGACATGTCGGCTGCGGGCACCAGAAAGCCTTAGTAGCCGATAGATTGGAAATACTATAGGCCAACTTAACCATAAGATAACATATCCGTAATCTAGCTTAACGAGAAGATAGCTCTATCACATAAGCTTTGCGAATGGCGGTAGATTGCTTTTGGAGCTTAAGTATTGGCGGTGACCCCTCCGACTTCCCCCAAAGAGTGGGAGGGCTGAATATACCAGGAGCCACGCTCGCAACGCTCTCCTCCGCACCACCCACGGGGTTATTTCGTCATTAACTTCCGTGCAGCCCGAATCGAGCAGGGACCCTCTCCGCTAATGTCGCATTTCGGGCATACAACATTGCGCTTTCCAAGGGCAACAATGTCTACGGGAAGACGAGGGGGAAACGACGGCAGTGACCGCCGACTGTGGCTGTGTTGGACCCGAGAGCCCCTGAGCGATTGCTGGGGGTGGGTTTCGGGGTTGTCCCTAGTAGTGTTTGGAGTCGGTGGTGGATTTTTTGCAGCACGGGTGTTTCTCTAGTGTACGACATTTCTCGGAGGTACGGGGTGTCTCGTTAGCCGTGCCAACTGATATTTACTTATCAAGAGGTAGGCTTAGCGTATCTCTATCCCCCTGCATTGCTTTACCCGGGCCGAGGGGCAAGTCCAGCAAAGGAATGACTGCCCGCGCAAATATGTTCTTTTCAGCCGTGACTGGTAACGGCTTTCCAGAAACCAAGAAACCACGGGGGTTGCCAAGCCGCCGGTGATTAAACGGTGTAAACCCGTAGTGCTAGTAGCCTACGACCCTTGATTGGGCACATACACCAACTGTTTACTATCTATTTCTCCACCATTTCTTTGCCGTGTACTAAGGCATCAGCGCCGTTTGGCTTCGCTTGCCTACCCCACATCCGGTCCGGCAGCGCCTGCTGTACATCGGCAGAGGTTCTCAAGACGTCGGCCGACATTATGTCATTCAACGAATTAGCCGACCTGTTGACCAAGTTATATAAGTACCATTGCGTCCCCGTCTCCCACTGGCAAGCCGTCCACTCCTTTGAATGCCCACTACATTTCAACGTCCAAAAGAAGCTAAAGCCACCAAAGCTCCCACAGCCGCCAACGCCATCAAGCACCGCAAGTCCCACAAAAAGCTGAGACTCGGCTGCGACAATTGCAAGCAGCGCCGTATCAAATGCGACGAACTGTTCCCCCAGTGCCTGCGGTGCACCATCCACAAGGTCCAGTGCAGTTACCAGAGTCTATCTCACAAGGAGAAGCGGGACTTTCTCCGGGAAAAATACTACTTGCCGTTAACTCCCGACCCTGACGATGAAACCGATACTGGCGAAGACTCCCCTGAACCGTCCAGTACCTCCAGTTTGCCCGTGGCGCTGTTGTTTAGCCACTGTGCCTCAAGTCCCCCTGCTACCGACGATAGCGAAGTCGACGTCGACGATATCCCCTGGGACCAGCTCTACGCCGCTCTTCCCGACAATTAACCCGCTTGGCTGGACCAATCATTCTATTCTGATGTATAGTAGCATTGTCGGTGTAATGTCACTGATCCTCGGCATGTTTGTCACCATTTATACACAATTTGTCACCATTTATAGCGAAATTAGCGCACCCGCCTTAACGAAGCTTTGTGTAGAATTGAAGACTCTGTGTAGATGTTTCACTCTCCATCTGGTCATGAACGATTGCCAGATGAACGGTTGCCAAAATGACCTGGAAGCCATCAGTCTGCTGGTTGTCGCCCCTACCTGCCGTTTTGCTGCCTGTTTACCGCTTCGGCGCCATCGCCTGCCGTTTTTGGCAAGGTATCACCTCGTCTAATAGTTTCCCCCGTATTCCTTCAAAAATACTCTCCCAACCAGTAACGGAAGCACCACCGCTGCAATAACATCAGAACCACCCACTTCCTCAATTCCGGCACCGATCACGGAGCCCCATGAATTGTGAGCGTGAGTTTCACGCACCATCAGCGACGTCACGATTTAGATCATGAATCATCGGAGTATATCCGGCTATAGCAACATTCCACATGATCGGAATTATCATGTGTGTACGGTAGAGGCAAATTGTAGTGCAGCCTCGGCAGGTATATTTCTTGATGCAAGGCAATAACAACACAACAGTCTCGGCTGATGGAAGCCTTATTTGGTCATTTCGAAGCAAATAGCGAATAGCAAATAGCTTTGGCAGAAGCGATTTGGATGCGCCACCCCCGCGTTGTCTCCGCTTCGAGGTAAGCTTCATTCGCGGCTATCATTGCAGAAAACCACTATCTTACACCAATAGGCTGCTTAGTAGTTCTATTAGTCTAGTCTAGTCCTCATGGGCGAAATTTTCCGAGAGCATTTCAGGTTCATTTCGCCTTGGTAATTGCCACAAACGCAATTATCCCCCCAGGCATCGTACGCCACGGTTCCGGCGACCACATATATCCCGCAGGAAGATCTCAAGCCCAGTTATAAAGTGATCACCACCAGTGTTAGCCCCTTGAGCTGATTGGCATTCATTGTTTGCTTGAGTGGTTTTACCTTGTTTGTTGCCGCTAATCGCCGAGGCTGGAAAAACCCCGCTGGAAATCACTCACTGGCCCCACGCCACCGAGAAATAATTTGCCGTCGAAATTCGCCGCATGAACCCCGAGCACTGGCCAATAGTCTGCCCGCATTATCGCTGCATCGGCCGCATACTCCCCCAACCCTCACAAAGCGCCTGTCTAATCAAGGAATTCAATAAGGTACTTGGTTAAGTCAAGCGTACCTTGCCCGCCCGAAGCTCAGCGGTAAACCCCAGACGGTTGCGGTGCCTGGAAACTGTCTGTTATTAACGATTAATAAGCCGTATAACTCCCTCCCTTAGTCGTCGATTACAATCGAGGGCTTAGTAGCCGCTTAATCATGGCTGAGACAGGCCGGGGGCGATCGCTGTCCTATTACCTCACACACTAGCAGTTACCCGGCGCACGTGAGGGACCCCTCTTGGGTTATTGCGAGCCCGCAGGTTCCGCAGCGACGTATTATCTCACGTCAACGCACCCTGACTTACTTACAGAGTAAACGCTACGCTAGCTAGACCATAGGTGATTGATTGCCGAAATTATCGTCTTTTTCCTGTAGTGGGCACCTGCCGGTAATAACACCAAAAAATCCCGGGGATCGGTGTCACGCTGCCCGATAACCTGCAATGCGCCGGAGTTCCATTGGTGCTCATGCTGGAGAAGCCGCTTCCACAGAGCATAGGCCACCCCCAGATGCCGGACGAATACGACGCCGCCCACGAGATATTTGTTTGCGCCTACCGCCGGGCGTATATACCGCCAGCTACCCCCCCGCGTCCTGAGTCCTCTGTCCACGTCGTCAGTGCCAATGCCAGATGCCACGAAAGGGGTACCGCAACAAGCTGGGGTTCCGACGAAAGTCCCATAAAAAGCTGAGGCTCGGGTGTGCCACGTGCAAGCGCCGCCGCATCAAGTGCCTGGAGGAGTTGCCCCAATGTGAGGAGTGTGTCAAGCTCGGCGAGCACTGTGACTACTTGGACTACACCCCGCACCAGCTCGACCGGCTCAGGAGGGCAAAGCTCCAGCAGGGGTCGGAGCTGGACGACGACGACAAGACGCGGTCCCACGCCGTCAAGTGGCAGGCGACTCCGACTAACCATGCCCTCACGACTAATTCCGTGACCACAATCGCCAATGCCGTGGCCCCGCCGCGACAGGCGTACGAGGACATCCCCTACCCGGAATTTCACGATATTCTGGGGTTTGGAGACATGTCGCTGATGATGCCGCTGACAGCCCTACCGCCAGGCCAATTACCTTTACCGGCGTACAATAGCACTTTACCGCTCGCGGCCTCGGCCATTCCCGGCACCATCCCTCCACTGGGGCCTATGGGGGGCACGACGTACTCCTCTTACTACGAATTTGACCCTCAGCAACCGCTTCCACAACTGCTACCTCCGCATAGTCTCCCTCAGCCACTGCCGTTGGCGTCGACCCTCCCTCCGCATACCCTCTCAAACTCTAATGAGACGAGCCACGAGGCCCCAACAAACTCCATACCTCCACCCACTCAAATGGCTCCGCCAATGCCACTGATGGCCCCATCAATGGCCCAGCCGCCTCCCATCGCCCACGACCCTCTAAAGTGTACTATACTCGACTGCTACCTTTGCCACCACCAGTACCCGCCGACGTAGGCACCGGTAGTCTTCCACATACTAGATCATAGCATACGTAAAATATACAACCAGTTAGTAATAGATCAGCTCTATTGTTAACAGATAAGACATCACCGGCGACAAATTTACGGTTTATTGTCATTTTCATCACAAAGGCGAGGAAATGCTAGCAGAAAGACCCAGCATCCTGGTCAATTCTGGTGATGATCAAAACGACCTTGACCACTAGGGGAATGTTGTTATGTCCCAGATGTACCTATATCTCGTCGACTGCAATAACATGCCATGAGTCACCCCCATAACAGATGAGGCTCCGTCGTACACGTCACACTACACCCGTAAATCATCTTCCAGACATTAAATCGATGCATTGACAAACAATAGCGGAGCAAAAGCTGACAAAAATATTCAACCATGGTCACTGTCACGCGGAAAATAATCGTATATCGCCAAGCCCCGGACCAGTGGAATCACACATAAAACCACGTAATTCGACTGTGACTAATGGCTTACCCCTGGATTAGCTAAATTGACTACTTTCGCTCGCGGTTACCGGATCGAGAGGGCGGTAGGCTCATGCTTGATCGGAACGATTGTCGGGGTTCAGCCCCACCAGCCCCTGCAAGCAACAGCCCCGATCCGGCATCAGACAATAACGGGCCGGCTCGTGTGTAATGTCGGCTCTAAATCTCGTGCCGTAGAGGCGAAGCCCACTGTCGGCGTGGGGCAGTGCCAGTGGTCGAAACACGGGTTAGCTGGGACTATTAGATGGTAGTTGTCCACCACTGGTTAGTATCGGTATTACTAAGCTCGTTATTAATCATTTTTGTCGCCGAGGTCAGGGATTTTTTCGTCCCCGTCCGTTCCGTTTACGGGCCGGTCGTTTGAGCCCCGGGGAATAAAGCCGGACACAGCCCCCGCGGTCATTCCGGGGGCACGGCTGCACGGCCCCGGCTTAGACACCCCGTAGTTTATATACGAATGGATATACGGAATTCCACGACGGTTATTCCCATTGAATTATATCCATTCCTTTCTGTCTGAGCCATGTCGTCGCCGACGAAAGCCAAAGTTCGCAAACCGCACCGCAAGCTGAGACTCGGGTGCCTGACGTGCAAAGCCCGCAAAATCAAGTGCCTGGAGACGATGCCCAAGTGCCACCAATGTATGAAATCCGGTAGGCGGTGTGGGTTTGAGGATATGGACGAGGAGACCAAAGCTAATCACCGAGCGGCGCAGCGACTCAACGAGGCGATTGCTAACTCTAGGGTAGATGTCAGCCCTAAGGAAAATGGTCAACCGGTTAATACCAAAGATACTGTTAATGGTGGTGGTGGTGGGACCAAAAAACCGTCAATTCTGGTCGATACAGGCTCACTGCGAGTGAACCCGTTAATCACCCAAATGTCACCCAATTTAACACCACTGCAACTGGAAACAAGCCATCTTAGCCCCTGGATCGATACCCAGGACTTCTATTCGAGTGACCGGCTGCCTACCAGTCAAAATGGTAGTCAACACGGTAGCTATACTGGCAGTCAAACTGATAGCCAATTGGTGCTGCCGGTGAGTCCCATGATTACGAACGACGATGATGAGATAATCAAGTACTTTGAGAGCGAATGGCTGCGACTAGCCCCGCCAAACCCCTCGCAAAACGGGTACGCCGACTACACCGGCTACAACTCCTATAACTAATGGCCTACCAAAGTGCTGCTAAATTCGCTAAACTGGTCGTGGCCTCGCTTACTCCATAATCAAGGCTTTCGACCCACAAACGGCTTAACGGTTCCCCCTTAGACATTTCCTAGTTGTCCGATGTTTCTTCCCCATTTCGGTTGAGAGCGTTGGGACGATAAGGGGGCTGGCTTTGTTATTGGTGCGACACTGAGGGGAAGCTGTACACAGGAATAGTTACCAACGCTGCCTAACCGGCGACGAGTCTGGGGATGCTATTGGACGACACACGGGCCCCGCTAACATTAAATGATTACTCCATTTCCCCGATGGCCAAAGTAGCGAGGTGTACTCCCCGACCTGCAGACCCCACCCTCCCAACTGGGACAAGCGAGCCAGCCACGCCCTCACCAACGCCCAGTCCAGGGGCAAGCCCATTAACGATTCTCGATATTGAAATAAGCTTTTGAGATACGACAAACCCACGATATAGTCGATTCTTTCGTATGAGGCGTACACGACAGAGAGAAGTGGCCGCCAAATGGACAGGAAGAGAAGCTCAAGTGGTGGGTAATCATCGACGGCTGGGGTGAGAGGTTTTCCCGGATGTGCTTCCACCAATTTTTCTGTGGCTGAGTCACCCGGGGATAGCGCTGGCGCGACCCCTGGGGTGACGGGGTCTCTGCTTCGTGCAGTGGTTCCGCAGGTACTATCGACACGCTTTTTAATATATGCAGGATGACCTTCATCGGGGTGACACCTCAGGTGACTTATACTAGTGGCAGGCGGTCGGCGGCGTGCAAGGCGGGCGCAGCGCCCCGGGCCTACTCCAGCCGTCCCAACGCCCCCCCACGTACAATTGCGTTATAGGTAACAACGACACGTCGCCGTAACCATGTGTATCCACCGTTACGGTTGCCAAGATCCCTGGGTGCACCAACCCCCAGGATTTAGTTGGCAACCAGGGACGATCGAATAGTATCACTGTTGGAGGAGACACCTTTCGAACCTGGGCGCCCTGCATGTGCTTTCACTCGGGGTCGCTCGGAGCTGCTCGGAGCATTTTTTTCCCAATAATTTTCCCCCCTTTCCGCCGTCCCGCCTCTGGCAGACAAAAACCCCAGCCGCTCGCTTCTCCACAGAAAAAAAAAAGAAAAACTCTTTATCACTTCAAAAGGGTATACCCCAAAACCAGTGCCAAATATAAAAAGCAAAACCACTTCCAAAAGCATTTCGAATACCCCAGAACGATAATTGGTACCCCAATGGTTGCCAAAACCGCCAGAAACCGCCACCGCCGGAAGCACAGAAAGCTGAAATTTGGATGCTCCGAATGCAAGAGACGCCATGTCAAGTGCTGCGAATCCACTCCCCGCTGCAAAAACTGTGTCAGACATAGAACGAAATGCTGCTACCCACCGGACAAGCCCCAATCGGAGCCAGAAGCGGAGTTGCCAGATAAGGAAGCTCCAGAAGTGGTGGTGCCCGAGAAACCAGTCGCACTGATGCTCCAACACCAGGTCAAACTGCTTTTCCCAACCCCACCTGCGCTGGCGTCGCAATCCGAGCCCCGACCGGCGATCAAGCGCTCGCGTTCGGACGGCGACGTCGATCAGGTGTCGCCTAAGCGCCCTCACTTGGACACTACTGACAGCTTGCCGTTGCCAAGAGGCATTGAAGACCTTGAGTTCGATTCCGCAAGCGCGCATTTACAAATACCCGACAACATGCAGGAACAACTGTCGGGGTTATTTGAATGGCAAAAACAGCGTCAGTCGCCACCGGCGCCGTCGCTGACGCCCCGAATCAACCACGTTGACAATGGGGGAATTTCACTTTTGCAATTATTGACCATGGGTCTCGTTGATTACCAACAAAACACTGATCAGGCTCTGATGTCGCTGGTGCCCCGTAGTGGCCACGACCAGACTCAGGAAAGCCTTAATGCCATCATTATCAACCGCATTGTCCACCTTGAAAACACCGTGGCCCAAATCGGCACCGTGTCTCCTGACACTAGCATCGCATCTATTGCACCCAGCATGGCGTATCCTTCACACACGCTCCCTCCCACGAACCCGGCGCCGGCGCCAATTGACAATACTGCATTGTTCTATAACCACCACGTCCCGTCTGCGATTCCCATGACGCCGCACCAGCTGTTCTTGACCATGGTGCCGTCGCAGATGCAATCGCTCACGCCCCCTGACGGGCTGTTGAAAGTGCCGGCGGAGCTCGAGGCTCTGTTGGCGCTCCTGCCGCCATTAATGGCGCCCACCAACTCAATAATCGTGTCATCGTTCCCTCAAATGGGGCAATCAACGCCACTGGCGGCGATGTCGCTCGACCAACTCTGATTCATTTCGATGGCAGTTTGAGGCGGAAATTCTGGCCATCATCTCCAAAATTCAATACCCCTTCTCTTATCTCTTTATCATTCATCTTTTGACGCTTATCAATTGAGTGGTCTCATTTTTTTGTATCAACCCAGGCGATTTTTATAGACCACACAGAGGAACCTTCATAGTAATAACAATAAAGAAGCAAATCAAGTGTAGGGGAGAAGGAGGGGATAGTAGTATGAGGAAGGGTCATGCTTTGGCAATGGGGGCAGGCGTGGACGGATGTGTTGTTGGACTGTTGGTGATTTTGTTGATGCACATTCACCATGGGCGTTGTTGCTTTTATCAGAAAATGGGTGGCAAAAGCATGTATCAGCCCATCATCATCACTGATTGTTTCAAAGTTGTTTCAAAGTTGTTTCACTAGTTGTTTCAGTATTGGTTTCAGCCAAGACTTGAGTAGGACGAGATCGGAAAACGTCACCTAATTCAAATTGATCGAAACAATAACATCGTTAAGGTAATGACAATCAATCCAAGTCAACAAGCGATCAAATCAACACAGCACTCTCTGTCGATTCCCATATACTAACTTCGAATCATTAACATTGTGGTAGTGGATCTTTGGCCTCGTTTTTGTGGCCCCTCCTCGCAAAACTCAAAGGCGTCTATTATACCGCCGAAATTGAAGCTAAGTCGCCTAGGTATCATCCGGTACAATTAGTGAAGCAAATGAGGAATCGAATGTTGATCTGATCGGCCTCGCTGGGATACGAACTGGCGATCACATACGCCGTAAGCGACCCATATCGGTTGTTTACTAATGTTGCGAAAACCCAAACACACGCAGTGGCAGCTACCCAAATAAGGTTATTAATCGCTTACAAATACCAAAAATGTTACCCAGCATCGATTTGCTGACTCCAATTGTTAATGTTCCCTTGTTAATGCTATTCGAGCGGTGCCTGGACCTTACGAGGGGAATCTCGAGGGGCGCATATTGGGTCGTCATTGTTTACGGCGCACCAACGTTTTGGGGCCGGTTCGCACCAATGGGCGGGCCGCCTGCAGACGCTCAGCAGGGCGGCCCCAATTAGCGCCCGGTAGGCGCTCCTCTCGAACCTAGTTTCGCCCCCCACACCCTTCAGCCTCTCGCTATCCCCGATACCGGAAACGCCTACAACCGGATATATCATCCGAAAGCGGTTGTTTGTCGACGTCGCCGACTTTTCGCCGGTGTCGGCGCTCGCGCCCACCGTCGCGTCGGGCGCCCGCGGTCTCGCCCCCGGCGCCGCTCTATCCGCTGTGGTATTTTAGTTTGAACAAGGCGGGAATCTACACAGAACTCGGTGCAGGGCGCTTGTGTTTAAGCAGATGAGCGATCAGCCGCTATTTACGCCCATAACATTCCCCTGAGGCCATAATTGCCGTTGGAAAACACGTTGAAAAACAAACAATCAGCATTCGACAAGTGTGCCTGTCCTTGGCCTCACTACCCCACGCTTACCCCACGCTTGTCCCACGCGTTTACTCCCAAGCCACTTGGTCTCCAGTGTTCTCCAGTGATCTCGAGAGGAAAGCGATCACAGAGCTCCGACGCGCCTGCGCTCTACTTACCAACGGGAGCTTCACTCCTCGAGGCTCGCCACCGACTTCCTGGGGTTGCCCTAGCCCTAATCACGTCGCTCTCTCTGTGTCAGCTACCCTTGCCTTCCTTTGAGTTTGAATCAAAACCTGGGCGCGATGATGTCGCCCCCTCGAGCCCAGCGCAAGCGCCACCGCAACTCCCGCCTCGGGTGTGATACTTGTAAGCGCCGCAAGGTCAAGTGCCTGGAGGACTTGCCCCAGTGCAAGAACTGCGTCAAGTACAAGGTCAAATGTGACTATTTGGATAAGCGCCCTGAAGAGCTCGAGGCGATCCGATATAAGGCGATGATGGAGGCGCGGTACGAGGCGCTGGCGCCACAACGGGCGCCGGCAACACTACATCAACCAGCGATAGCGCTCGCCCCCGGCGCTGGTGCCCCGCTTCCCGCAGTTGTCCCACCGCCACCGTCAGCAGCCATTGCGGCGCCCCCCTCGGCGCCATCAGCGCCATCAGCGGCGGCAGTGGGGGCATCCGCCGCCGCCACCGCCCCGCTGGTCTACCTCCCGCTGTTTCTGATGCCGCAAGACCCGTTTGTACCCCAGCCGCAACAGCTATACCCACAAATCTACTATATGAACCCGATGACGCTGTTTGCGCTGATGCCACTCACCTCGCTGTTCCCGGCACCGGGAGCACCCCCTCCCGAGCCGCCGCCACCAGCAAAATTGCCTACAACCACGCCCGCACCAGCGCCGGAAGTTGTGCCGGCATCAGCGCCGGAAGTACCGGCACTACCACCACCACCACCAGGGGTTCCAAAACCCTCAGGCCCACCTAAGCTCCACCGCAACAAGCTCCCCAGCAGCACCTTCCTTCGCACTACGCTTGATGCGCTTGAGTATCGACGCCGCCGCGACGACAATCAGGGGTTTTTTGACGCGATGCTTCTACTGGCGTACGACGGTGACCGCCGCGCGTGGACGGCGGCGCTTGAACTCGGCCGCTACGTCGTCAGTTTGAAGCTACGGTCGTAATTACCATTTCGACGTTTCCAGTAAATTGGTCTCCTCGACAGTGAGTAGAGACATGGGGAATGTTGATGGCTTTAGTTACGAGCCCTGCTATTTGAACCAGAGGTGGCGTGCGTTAAGATAAAGACAACACAACACAGCATCCCAATGCCACCATGTGCGTCGACTAGCGTCGACTAATGGCACAAAATGAGCTCTAATAATAATATCAATATTATCAACAGAGACTATTTCTTGCATGCGATACTCACGCACATTCCTGTTGACCCTAGGCCTCAAAGCCCCACAGGAGGTCAACCTGAATATGCCCTCATTCCAACCCCTATTTCATTCACTGTACCTCCTAACTTAATATATGAAACACGGATTAGTCTGAGGTCAAATCAGCTAAAACTCGCCGTCGTCTGATGTGGTACTTTTTATCGGCAGCCATTTAGGTAGTGGGCACCAAAAACTCAAAAAACTCTAAAGTGTTACCATGAAGCCGCGGGTTACCGGTAAACGACACAAACATAACTGCCGTTCCCAAACTGTAAAATTGAGGGCGGGGGTCTAGATTGGGTCTAGACTCAGGGAGCATAGCAAGCGAGTTTCTCAGCTCACTAATAAGCTATTGCTAAGTGGTTACTGCTGAATGATCAGTGTTTCCCCCACTAAACCCTCCAGCACCACTAAACCCACCGTACATAAACACGGGTCCCACAGCGCATATAGTCGCTTGCATTCACCGGTAAAACGTTATGCCGGCAGGTCTAGCTTCTGCTGGAAGGGCTAAACCTGTTGGTCCAATTAATGCCCAGTTAATGAGCCGTTGAATTATAAGGCAATTTCACACGATCAACTTAGTGATAACCGATATAGTATACTCAAATCTCAACTACAATTGCCAAAGGATCAGGCACAAACTACCAAAAATTCGGGTGCAAAAATCATGTGCATGGCAAAAAAAGTAGAGAACATCACGAAAATACACTTCGAAAGAGTATTTAGGTTTCAACCGTTTCGAGTATCAAAGTATTAGAGTAGTAGAGGCGAGAGAAATCGATGAAAAACGGTAAGGTTTAGCCTTTGTGTATTTGAGTAAGTAGGTGTCTGTATTGTTGTCTGAATTTGTCTCCTCACTGAGGAATAATGCAATTTGATGGTATTGGTGTAGGGATGGCAACCTGCTATTTTTGTGACCGCACGCGTTTGAACGAGATCCCTTTGAAATTGTTGGAATCGTCCTCGGGTAAAGGCGGCACCGCCGTCTTCGTCTTGCGGAGCAGCGGCCTATTGCCGATATTGCCTGAGCTCTTCAGCTTACGCAACCCAAACGCCAGCCGCAACGAGTCGTTCAGCGTCAGCCGCTGGCGCGGTTTCGCCAGCCCGCTACCTGATGATGCCAGTGGTGCTGGTGGCGCCGCATCACCATATAGCAGAGTGCGGCTGCTAGAGTTGTGGATGCGTACCAGCAGCAACGGCGTTCCCAGCACTTTACGCCGTGGCGGCAGCATCAGCTGGACCACAGCATTTTGCGCTGCCGTGACTGCGGCCTCGGGGATCGGTTTCTCGAAGGTTAATTGACTTAAGAAGCCAAACGCATCGGGAGGTGGTCGCGGCTGGCCCCCCAGAAGTCTCCGGCGAGGCAGCATCATCGTCGCTGGCAGCTCCAGTATATACAGCTGGGGCAGCGCCGAGTCGAGGCCGGTGTCGCCGCTCAGTTTGCGCACCAGCGGCGATATTGTTATCAGTTTCAACAGCGGTGGCGGCTTGGCGAACGTCGGCGCCGGCGCCATCTGCCCTCCTGGCACCATTTGCGCCAATTGCGCCATTTGAACTCCTGGCGGTTCTGTCAGTGCTCCCAGCAGCGTAGTCACGATCAGCGGCGCCACCAGCAGCCCCACGATCAGCAGCAGTCGCAGCGCCCCGTTCAGCGCCAGCGTCGCCGCCAGCACCACCAGGGCATTTCCAGGGCGTACAGCGGTCACCGTGCTCAGGCGCTTGCGCAAATTGGGCGGGCGCAGATCGCGATCGTGGCGGTCGGTGCCTCTATCGCCAGAAGGTAGCAGCAGCGAGTGGGCGCGAGTGGTCAGGTTTGTGCGCTTCTGCTTGGACACGGAAATGATGGGCGAAAGCAATACTCTGTTCTCTGTCGGCAGCAGTTGTGGAGTGTGAGGGGCGGCGCCGGTTACTGCTGGTGGCGGCGCTATCGGCTCCGCTATCAGGAGCGTCAGCCGCAGCTTCAGCTGGGAGTAGCCGTCGAGCGCCCGCTGTCTGAACGTATCGTGCTTCATCTTCTCGTAATGCTGGCCCAGCTCGAACGTCGGCAAGTACTCGGTGGCGACGACGCCACGGTGGTTGCGCATCTGCTCCACGTACTTCAAAGCTTGTTCGCCCTCAGGGAGAGTGCGGGCAATAAACCTTAAGAGCACCTCGACACAGTCGTCGCGCTCGTATTGGAAGCAGAGGTGGAGCACCGAGTCGCCGTGGCCGTCGCGGGCGCTGTAGTCGGCGCCCCACTCGAGCAAGAGGCGCATCCCCTGGGCGAACCCGTGGACGCAGCAGTAGTGGAGCGGCGTCCGCTGGTGCTCGCCGCCGGCCATATTGACCCACCGGGGGTCCGAAAACTCCTGGAGAAGGTAGTTGAGCACCTGTAAGTGGTGGTTGATCGTCAGCACGTGTAAAGGAGATACGCCGTCAAACAGCACGAGGTCAAGCCTCAGGAAGTGGTCGGCTAATGTGCCGTGGGAGCGGGTGACAAACAGCACCAAGTAGAACACCACGAGGTAGTGGCCATGGAACAGCGCGTAGTGGAGGTTGGTCCACCCCTGGTGCTGCGGGTTCGGGTTGAGCCACAAGTCCGGGAACCGGTGGAGAAGCCGCTTGACGTTGTCGAGGTTGCCCTCAACCACCGCCCGGCGAAGCCTGAGCCCCGGATCAAGCATACTCGGCGGAGGTTGGCTCGAAGCAAGCGGGGCGCGACTTCGGGTGCGCGCGGCGCGAGAGGCGCGGCCGCCGGCGGGCTAAGCACAGGAAGAATGGGGCTTATTTAACAACGAAAAAGACCAATCAATCAAAGTTTGTTGACCGTAGGGGGTATAATCGAGGCTGGTGATGACGGTGGTACCTTTGGTTTTGAGTTTTGGGTCCTGGATCGGTGCTGACGTCGGGGAGATGGCTGGATGAGCGATTACCAGGCCATAATCACTCAGCGCTGGACCATGGTAGCCCTGAATTAGACCACAATCACCGTATACCTTCATTTGGTCATCAAAAGTCGAGCGGGCGCTGAGTAAATTCTCAAAGAACCAGCCATTTCTAGAATAGCGTGCTGGCGCTACTCGTGAAGATTTGTTGATGGCGCCGCAAATTTGGTCGCCGCGAGCTGCGACAGACCCACCGTACTGTTTCAAACTACGAGAATCACCACATCCAACACTATATTTGAAACCTTCGTATTACCCCCTGTAGCAAAGATTGTTTGATGTATACTGGCAATTAAAATATTCTCTGAAAGTGTCAGTGGTTCTTTTCTCTGAGAGAATTAACGATGACGGTGTCATGTAATGTCACACGAATTGGTCTCCCCACCTTAGCGGTTTCACCAGCTCTGTACACCTTATACAACTATATACAGGGCGCTAGGCATTCGGCGGTTTGTGAATTTCTCCGGGGGCTGGCAGTAATGCAGGGGGAACTAAAGAAAAGGAGACAGGCTACAGGGGGTGTGCACTATCTGAATACCCCCGAAAACGGTCCCCGATACGAACGATTCGCTGAGATGAGCGGAATGACGCTGGCTTCACAAGCATATTGCTTTTGCCGGAGAACAACCACCTTTCTCCGGATATTATTCCGTTATCAGTGGAAAATTGCCTTAGTCCGGATTATTTTTCTTCGGGTTCGTTTTTCCGGCAGCAGACGTCGGCAGGGATTTTGACACACCTGCACGCATTTGTGATCCACACCTCGTTTTCTATTGTTCCGAGCATGTAGAATTATTATTCTGGAGGCCAGAGAAAGTAGACTTGCCCGGAAAAACTCGGAACTTTCTAGTGGCCCGGCGGATAAACCCGACCACGACCAACCCAATGAAATATCTATCTACCACCCAAAACCAACCAAACTCCGGAAAAAACCAAATCTGCAGAAGTCAATAAAACTAGGTAACAACCAGTATTTTCGATATAGGCGATATTCGCCGAAAACACTATTGGCCGGTACCGGGGTTCCGATGGTCCCGAATATCTTCCCCGAAATCCTTCAGAATCGTTTATTGGAAATGTTTATGAATATATTTAGAGTGCAAAAAGCCGTTGTAAGTGGTAATACTACCGAATTTACTTCTTCTTGCTGGGGTCGACCTCGCCGAAGGCACACTCTCTCAACTGGGCCAATTCGTGCTTGCACGAGTCCACGCGGGAGTTGTGCATTCTCAAACAGGCGTCGTAGGCCTGGAGCTTGCCGGCACACACCAGCTGGATCCGCTGCATCAGCGGGACCTCGCTTTTGATGCACTTGGCCAACGCCATTTGCTGGAGATCGCAGTTGGTGTCGGGCTTCAGCATGCACTTGTGAAACTCGAGAAATTGAGCCGGACACCACCGCAGGATATCTTCAAGGAGAATTTGATCAAGAACGCCCGTGGTGCTCATTTTGATGTTGTGGCAATGCTAGGATGAGTACAGGTGTAGTAGGCCGTGAAACCCGGTGCGGCGTTGAAATTTGGTCCTGCATATAACACATTGAATGAAAAATCTGAAAATGGCACGGGTGCGACTCGAACAACCACCAACTTTACTCCACACCCATCACCCATGAGTCTGAGTCTACGCAAAGCCGTGATCGGGCTTACCTGGCTTCCCGTGGCATACACCGTGTTAAACCACGGCGTGCTGCCATGCCGTATCACGGGCCGACTGATGCTGCCGACGTTTAATCCGGGGACGCTGACCACGGCCGAAGACGTGGTGCTAGTGACCAAATTCGGCGCCAAAACCGCTTCAAACATTCATAGAGGAGACGTTATCATGTTTAGACTGCCTCGAGACCCGGAAAAGATCCTCACCAAACGGGTGGTGGCGGTGGCGGGCGATACCGTGTACCCTAAACAGCCGTACCCAAAACAGAAGGCGGGCGTCCCCAGAAACCACGTGTGGGTCGAGGGGGATAACTATTTCCATCTGATTGACTCTAACACGTTTGGCCCAATAAGTTTAGGGTTGGTGACGGGGAAAGTGGTGGCAGTAGTGTGGCCGCCGCTGCGATGGGGGGCCGACCTCCTGACGGGAGGAAGGAACCCAATGGATCCCCTTACTGTCTGAAAAGGACTATCTACATCGAAGACTAGCGTTGCTAGTAATATTGCATGGTACACTTCTTTCTATGGGTGTCATCTTTTTCATCTTTAACTAATGCAAACAAATTAGAGATTAGGAGGTCTAATCGGACTCACCTAGACTAAGTAAGCTTAGCATGTTTGAGATTCGTTTCAGTTCAATCGAACATTCATAATTGAATTTTGTCTCACCCATTGGGATGAAATTTCTGGCTCTCAACATTAAGATTATCTACCATTTTCTTAAACAGTAGCTGAAATCGATGAATAGCTTTTGAAAATCTCGTAGGAGCATCGTTGCTAGAGTTAATTAGAAGCAATTTCTACGATCTAAAGAAGTGAGTCTGTCCTTACAAAAATAAACTAGCAGCTTTACAATAATTGCTAAAGAAAGGAGAGCCGTTGCTAGAACCAAGTCTCATCTATTTGTTTTAGTAGGAGGGTTATTGCAAGATCCAATCATCAGCCACATTCAATTCTTCAGAGAAAACAATGTACAGTATTTCCACAACCGAACACGCCGTCCGATTTAGCAATAACTTCACGAGAACGGTTTGACAACTGTTCGTGGTAAATTCAATTTCTGAAACTGCCAAGGGATCAGTTGTAGCCATCCGTTGCCAGTGGGACCAAATTTTACCAGAACCGCTAAACAACAATTCGATGTGATACTGTTAGTTTTGTGAGCCCAGTTTTGCCACGATTTTGCCACGATTTACTGGCATCACTCAAACTCCATGATCACAATGTAAAATCACTCAAATTAATTCATCCTCAACCGTCTTTGAAACCATTAATTCCTTTTCGTTCTCGAATCACAGGCGCTGATTCAATCACAAGCACTCACCCTCGTCTTCACATGTTCTACAGCCACCCCCAATTATAGCCGATTACAGACAATCATACATTCGTTGACGTCACAGCCCCGGGTTTGTGGCCGTCTAATTGCCCCGTTTCGTCACGGCGGCGGCTTTACACCTTAATTGAGAACCAAACAAATAAACACCCGCGGCCTCGCACTCGCAAACCTACACAGCGTTTTAAACGCCGCCGACGTCATCGCCACACACTGTTCGTCGGTATCCTTGCTACGTAAATCCAGTAATGTCATCACAAACCTCACCTTGATTGTTAGTCCCTCTATCGGGGTTAGCTTCGGCACCGAAGCCCGCGCCGAAGGTCCGTGGTGCTGGTGACCCTCGGGCGCAGTTAGCGCCACAAAGAAATTAAGGGAATTCACCAGCCCCGTCTAAATATGTCCAAACGCGATCAGTCAACGACATCTTTGGTTCCTGGAAAATTACGGAAGCTGTGAGCGATTAATTTATCGACGACAGAGAGGGGCCAGCGCCGGCGGTAAAGGGGAGCCGACCCCTTATTGCTTGCCGTCGTATAGCGGCGCGCGCACCCGCACGGGGCGATCGCTAACCGAATCGGGGATATACAATAGGTGACAATAGGAAGTAATACTCTGCTTGCTGGCAACGAACACGATCACACGCTGTTATCCATTGAATTGTATCTTCAATTTACTCTACAGAGTGTTAGCCACCACCAGCGCTAGCTGGTGGTAGCGCTGGCGGCGGTAAATCGCTCGTGTCTCGCGCGCCCCTTCGGTGTCAATAAATCAACAACATCCGTCGGCGCTGGCGCTGCGCGACGCGACCCGCTGTGCGCACTATTTTGTTCCACGCCTCAGCCATTTTTGACCTTGTGATATATCTGTNCCCGCTGTGCGCACTATTTTGTTCCACGCCTCAGCCATTTTTGACCTTGTGATATATCTGTCCCCAGCTCGGCGCTGCAAACACCCACCCACCCGAAACCCTCTTTTACGGCCGCTTTCCCGCCTTCCCGCCCTCCCCACTTCCCACTAGTACCACAGGAAACCTGCTAAAGGATCCCTGGGTTTGCTTACACTCGTTTTCTTAACGCCGCGAAAGGATAGCCAAAGGAGAAAAGGTCGCCACCATGTTTGCCACGGACTCGTTGCCGTTGCCCCGCCGGCGCTCGAGCCAGAGAAGCCAGGCCAGCCAGGAGAGCAAAGCCAGTAAGGCGTCGAAGGCGTCAGTGGAGAGCGCCCGAAGCGCTAAGAGCTCGCGCAGTTCGAGGTCTTCGAGGGCGTCTCGCCGGTCTAGAGAGCCGCTGACGGCCACCACTGCCATCCCCAATACTCGCAAACGCAGAGCGCTGCCACTGGCGCTGAGAGAGTCCACCACTACCACGGCTTCCCCGTCGAAGAAGCGCAACCGGTTCAGCATAGCGTCGTCGTCGTCGTCGCGCAACGAGGACGGCGCCGTGGCGCCGGTGGCGCGTAGCCGCAACAGCATCAGCCGCAACGACTGCGCCAGTGTCTACGACGTGGCGCCGCCGGCGCCAAAAGCGACGAAGACCACGAAGTGGCTGAGCCCGCGCCAGGTGATGGGCCTCTTTGCCGTCCACCACCACATCCACCACATCGTCCACAAGATTGTCCACTGCGACGTTGACCTGGAGGTGAGCTGGCACGACGTCGACTGCCGCAAACACAAGCGCCAACGGTGCCTGCGCCGGCCCCACGTGTCGTTCACCGAAGACAGCTTTTAGCGCTTTGGTGGTGGACACTGGACTTATTTGCATTTTATCTCGAGTAACTTTTTTGCATCATATTTTGCACACCAATTTTATCGCATTGACGTTTTGGAACAATTTGAATTTGGAACATTTTTATTTGGTTTGAATACCTACTCTTGAGGTCAGTTTGATTACTGGCAGTTTTTGAAGGGGACAATTGAGAGGAGGGACTTTCGCAAGTGTTTGGTTTAATGGACCAACCAGATGAAAGGCTTTCTTTTCTACTGGTTCTATTTTATATACAGCGAGTGATGTTTCGTGGACATCACCTCCACTTTGTCAGTAATACACATGGCTTCAAGATAACTTTGCAAGTATCCACCATTGAAGTTTTGTAGGTGTCTTACCTGAGTAAATCTATTGCTTCCATTATTGAAGGTGCTATTGGCTAGCAATTGGATCGCCTCTTGCTGGCCGTCGACTAGCTTTTTCTACACTGACGTCTAGCCATTGACGTTTGACGTCCTCGTGGATCATCAGCATTTAGCCAACGTTGTCAAATTCTTCAATCACTGGAGGTGTCCTTACCTGGACGTCAGATTTGTTTGCCTGTAATTCGATCTAACTATTGTTTCTTAGTTCAATCGCCACAAGCCGCCATTGTCAAGAGTGCAACTATAGTTGAAAGATGTAGCCACAATTTGGTGGACCGTTAAGAGCATTATGAACTTAAGCTGGTTTATCCAAGCTCGATGATAAAAACAAATGACGGGTCTTTCGAATAAACAGCCAACTTTAAGTTTTCAAAAGTAATCGTGGCTTACAAGAGCCAATTGACAACGTTTAATCCTAGTAGTTGAATTGATTTGTTAGTGCCTTTTAAAGATTAAAGGGATGATAGGTGTAGCCATTTAAGGCAGTCCTCATTGACTTAATGAAACAACTGTTGGGGTATTCTTTTAAATTGTAACTCAATGGCAAGGAGTGGCTTTGGTATCTCTAAGTTTCTACAATTGTTTTTCAAAGCTCTCTTCGACAATTGTCGTCACAGTTCATCAATTGACTAAATAGTGAATGTTTGCGAATAGTAAATGGAACAAGACTCAGTTACTCAATGAAGGGATGTTCGTAATTAGTTCACGTCGAGTATTCTTCGGTGTTGTTCATGGTATCGGTCACCTTACACCCGTCCACCTTGATCACGATAAGAGCATTTTCGTTATCATCTTCAATGTAATTCTTCGCCTGGATGGTATCAATCTTGGCGTTATTTAAGTGCAACAGCTTATACAACGAGAAACGGGCATCTTTCGGGTCCAAGATCTCCGCTTGACCTTGTATTTGCACTGATACCCGGCTGATTTCATTCTTATTGATATTGGCCAACATCTCGTATAACGAGTTTCTGCGGCTGGAAGAGCCATCATTGTTAGGCTGGTTGTCTTTAGCACTGATCCAATCGTGGATTAAAAGCGCCACTTCCGGGTTGGCTTCGATATTGGCCATTTTAGTCAGCAGTCGAGGCAGCAGCATAATCACCACGTCAGAGTCGCCGTCGCGGTAGTACGTATAATTCATGAGCGCTAGGTGGGGGACATTGTTGTGACACGTGCCCAAGTGGACAAACCGTGTCAGTTTGAGGAGGGTGGTGACGTTTTCGGGGAGCATTGGAATTGTTGTAATAGTGGGGATCAGGTGGGTGCGATGTGGGGCCATTTGCTGTCACCCGTGCAGCAAACACTCGTGCTGCAAAACTCAAACATCAGTGCTGCAAACATCAGTGCTGCAAAATTCGTGTTTTTCTTTTATCTCCCCTATTCCCCTTTTTTCCGTTATCTCTGCCACAGAAACGGCCATTCGTATATGGTGCCCGCCAGGTGGCAGACACTACTAATTACCTCCACCCCGCTTCGCCCCTCATCGCGTCGGCTAGCAATACTGAAACTAGTGTCGTCCGACAGGCAGTGTCTCGCTCGAGATTGATCCGTGACTCTCTAACATCTCATGCTTGCTTTTCAACGCACTAAGTAATTTTTTACTATGTGCTGTGTTTGTGTTTCAACGGTGACACGAATGACAGTTTCGAAACGCAAAAAAAAAAAAATTCGCTTTTTGTTGGTGACACCTGGGTCGTGTACGTGTAGTCAGGCAAGGCTGAGTTTTAGGTCATCACTTCATCAGGTCATTTTACACACACGCCTTAGGACCCCCCACATTAAATTCGCTTGGCACCTGGGTCACGTGCTGTATGTGAGGCTGGAGTGAGCCTACAATCGGAGCGATGGCTGCCATTTTGGCGGACTTCCGATAGCGACGATCGATAAAAGCCTCGGTCAGATCGCTGACAGCTGACTAAGCCGTAACCCTCCGTCACGTTTTATCCTTGTATGGGTCTAACGTGATCCTCTGTATTAGGTAGCCTCAGACTTAGCCCCATACAGGCACCGTCACCACTGCGGGCTTTGCTGGTGATGACCCCGCCAAGACGCGGCCGCCGCTCACCCCCCATCCCCATAGAGTTGAGGGGGGGAACAGGTCAGCGCGCGGGGCGCAATTTCGGCGCCCTTACCCCGGCGCCCCGCGAGCGTCGGTGCGCCGACTGTATGCAGGAACGGCCCATTTCCGCACTTCATACCATAAAAAAAAGGTTGTTGGCGACCGGCGCCTAGACCTACCCCACCTTAAACTTCCCTTTCCCTCACCAACCACCTCCCCATCCATCCTTCATCGTTGTTGCGGACATGACCAACTATTTCGACAAGTTCCGCAGCCGGGTGCGCCGCCAGAGCGAGCCCGCGGTGCCGCTGGAGCCGCCGCTACCGCCGACCACCAGTGCCTTTAGCGACCGGGCGCCGTCGCTGTCGACGGCGCTGCTGGCGCTGCCCGAGCGCCCGCGGCGCCTGCTGATCGCCATGATCCTGGAAGTCAAACACAAGATCCACCGCGCCCGGGCGGTGTCGTTGGGGCTGCTGGACCAGCCCACCCGCCGCTTGGTCCACGACCAGACGCTGGAAGTGGCCCACCGCAAGCTCAGCGGCATTTTGGCCGATTTAGGGCTTCAGGACCCCCTCGTGGTGCTGGCGCTGCTGGCGCTGCTGCTGCTGGCGCTGGCGCTGGCGGTGCAGTTCGCCGTCGCCAACACCCACGACGTCGTGTTCGTGGCGCCGGCGCTGCTGCTGAGTTTTACCTACGAAGACGAAGACGGCGGCGGCGGCGCTTCGAGCCAGGCGCCGTCGTCGCCGGCGCTCTCGCCGGCAGCGCTGCCGGCACTCCTGCCGACACTGCCGACACTGCTGCCGCCACCACCAGGAGACGAACCGCTGTTTGCCGAACGGTTTTGCACGTTTACCTCGCCCAACTACTTGTGTACTAAAATCGATCTGGACACTCCCATCCCTCATACCTTCGCCGTGATGGTGGAGCTTGATCGCCGCCAGCGCGACGTCAAACCGTTAGAGGTTGATTTAACCCTGGAAGTGACCACCTGCTGGCCTACCAGCGACGGCCACAGCACCATCGAGCGGTTCCTGATTGGCGCGTTGCGGTGGCGGTGTCTGTTTGCCCAGCCCGACTACTTTATCAGCTATGCCAATAGCCACAGTGCCGCCGCTACCGGTGCCGGAAGCGGCTCCCGTCACGCGCTCGCGGCGCACGAGTTGGCGCTGCGGCTGCGCCCGTACCGGCTTGCCCCTGTCCGCAGCAGCGCTGCCGGCGAGCTGCCGGCGTCGGAACGCGTGGGCCCGTCGGAAGTGGCGCCGCTGGCGGAGCCGGGGATCTACGTGTTCCTTTTACCGGTGCTTTTGCCTCCCCATATGCCGGCACTGATTGCCACTGCTAACGGCCACCTCGCCCATAAATTAGCGGCTAAGTTTTCTAGTGGTGGTCACGTGACCACTATTGACTACCCGGTACTGGTGGCTCGGTTGCCTCCCTCCAACGCTACTTCAGTGGCGGATAAACCGATTTTCGTTAATCGGGTCTGGAACGACCTGCTCCATTATTTCATCACGTTCCCCAGAAAGTACGCCGCTTTAGGGCTGGAGCACACCATCAACATCAAGCTCATCCCCATGGTGAAAGATGTGATTATCAAACGGATTAAAGTGAACGTGTTGGAACGGATCACCTACGTGTCACGTGACTTAACCAAAGAGTACGATTACGATGGCGACGACCCCCTGGGTTTCAACGCCATGTTCTCCCACCGCACCCTGAATAAAACCAGGGAAAGAGTCGTGGGCCTCTGTGAAGTGAAAACGAAGCTGAAACGACTGACCACCACCACGCCGCAACCGTTCCGGAACCAAGTGGTTAAGTGTCCCGATAATAACTTGTTACACCTGTGCTACGAGCCTGAGCGCAAGCGTCTGGGAGCGGCTACGGGAGGAGTGGTGGCGACCCCCTTGGACATAAACGTCGCCCTCCCCTTCCCCACGCTGCCCCTCGACGCCGCCAACATCTCCGGCCGCCAGCCGGCAAAGGAGGGCATCACGCGAGCGTTATACCCCGACCTGAACTTCCGCCACATCCAGATCCACCACCGGCTCCAGGTGTGTTTCCGGATCTCGAAACCCGACGCCAGCGACGGCGGCCGCATGCACCACTACGAGGTGGTGGTCGACACCCCGTTGATTCTCTTGCTGGCTAAGTGCCACGACGACTCGATGCAGTTGCCGTGTTACCACGAGATCGACGGCGTTGTCGATAGTTCAGGGATCTCGGTGCGGCCGTTTGACCCGGAATTGCTCGGCCAGCCCTCGGAACCGTTGCCGACTTTCGAGGAGGCCGTCAGCCGCACCGAGCGCAGCATGCTGGTGTTTGACGACGAGGTGCCCCCCAGCACCAGCCGCGGCCCGTCGCCGGAAGCATTGCCCGACCTTATCGAGCTCCCCACCCCGCTCGATACCCCCGAGCGCACCAACTACTTTGATGTCCCCCCTCCGGCGGCGCCCTCGGAAGTGCCGGTGCCCCGGCCGGTATTCACCGAGCCCCAGTTCAACCGCCCCCCGCTCGCCAAACCACCAAGCTACGCCGCCGTCGACGAGGCGATCCTGCCCCACGACGGCGCCGGCTCCCTCGCCTCCGAAGGCGACCACCTGGACCAGGGCCTCGACACCGCCCTCGACACCGCCCTGACCAACAACACCCTGGTTTTGGACACCGAGCTGACGCTGGCGTCGAACGTCGAGGACACCGACGGCAAGTCGTTGGCCCTGGGGTTCTTTGAGCAGCGGTTGCCGTTGATGCAGCACTACTCGCTGGATACCATCGCCCGCCAGCCGCTGTGACATTCACCCATTTTCATAGATTCTAGCTAATGCAATATACCATCCCTTCACTGTCTATAGCGAGTAATGGAGCAAATAATGGAGCAAATAATGTCTCTGCTTGATCGATGAATGTCGAGTTATCAGGGTCATTTGTCATTATTGTCTGGCTCTCAGACCTGCCCATAAAATTAAGTATATGATGAGTAGATTCTGAAAACTAGCTTCAAAAGTGAAGATTCTGACATACCAGTTGATCAATTGATCTTGGGCATCAAAGACACCACCAGTGCCTAATTGGTGGCTCATCCTCAAATTGTCCCATGTTCCGTTTGAGGAATGGGAGCAATGGTAGCTATGAAATAAGTGTCTGATTGATAACCCATGGGGGTGGCAATTGTCGTTATTGTTATCACGAATCCGTGAGAGACCATGGCGCAAAAATACCGACTAACACCAAACCAAAACTTCATTAATTTAAACAACTTTGCCACCAAATGCCACGCTTACTTCAATAGTGTAGTCGTATTCATTTTTGAATACTCAATTGTCTCAAATTTCCACATTTGCAACTTGCTATGACAAGCTGGTACGGGAAATTTTGAGCGGACTTTCTCTTGGTGTCTATCTCTCTCTAGAAAGAATGGCCATTACTCCCTACGTTGACGGACATTTGTATCAACATCGTAATGGACTGACTCCAACTCAATTCTCAAATAACCAAAACCTTTTGGTGACGATTATATACATTGTTTACACCAATTCTATACCAGCTCAAATCAACAGCCAGAAGTAGCGTTTACCGTAGACGCCAGCGTTGAAGAGCGCAAACGCGCTGAAGCCGGCGGGGACCAACTTGCCGTGGACAGCCAGCTTCACCGCCTGCTTCCAATTGACAATGAGGTACAACGAGTTCCAGGCGAAATTGAAGCCGGCGCCGTTGTGGGGGTCGACAAACATCATATAGGTGCCCAACAAGTTGGCAGCGCCGAAAGTGAAGCACAGCGCCCGCGTGGGCGTGAGCACTGCTGCCTTATCCTTGGACGCCAATACCCCTCTGAGGGCAAGCAAGGTGCCAAAGGCGCCACTGGGGTAAGGCAGCGACCCCCACTGGTCGACCATAGAGGTTAAACCGGGGGCTTTAGCGTTGATGTTTCCTTGGTCTGTAGATACTGGCGTGGCCATTGTAACTTCAATTAATTGGTAACCAGTTGGTCTGGACGTTCAGACTCCGTTGGGAAAAAATCACCGGCGTTGGTCCATCGTCTCGATACTTGGTGATAACTCCGAGCGACGCGTCCGGGGAGGCGCACCAAACAATACGCTAGCCAAAACATTGAACAATGGCAAAGACACTAATGGACGCTGCAGTTGACTATGCCTAGATGGCTACCGTTGATGTTGACACTGATTACAGAAATGGGGTTTTGAGATATACTCCAGCTGGCTGATGCTGCTTTACCCTTACAGGCCACGTCGTTTGAAAATGGGACTTTGACGAGCAATTAGCCGAGACAATCGTCGCCCCCCTGAACACGCTATGCCTTTCCGAGTTTGCCAAGTTTGAAATTCCATTGATGGGTCTGGGAACCCAACCACGCCTCCCGTCTACCCCGTCAGGGTCAAGGAAGAGTCGGATGGTTTCAATCCCCATAATACTTCTTCACTGAAGACGGCGTCGTATTCACCAGAACCCGAACTTGACGATGATGACACTCCAGATATGACACTAGTGCCTGCGCCATCTCCACCACCGGTGTCACCACTGGTATCTGTCAAAAAGAGAAGAGTTCTCCTCTCTACGACGCCCACGCCAAATTTAACGCAAAAAGGTTCAACTACTGATGTTAATATACCTCCTTCATCTGATACAGTTTTGGTAACAGAGAATATTGGAACTGGTTTCAGAGATCGCAGGCCTCAAACAACGATCTCTGAGGGTGTTTCTAACAAAGACACTTGGAAGATCCTATTTCCGGATGGTAAATAGTGAGGTCGCTGCCACGAAGTTGGCATGTATTCTTCGATGAACCTAACGTTGAATTTTCAGTTCGTTTGGTCGATTGGATGCTTGCGATTTACGCCCAGCTGTGGAACCACATCGCGCCACTTGTGTTCCAATATATCAGAAGTAACGAACATCGCCAAATCTCCCAGTCGTGTTTTCGTATCTTCACCACACCGATCTTTTATCCTACCGATGATGAGTACGCCATTATATTCTTCCAGATTTGTCCGGAAGACGATGAGATATACAATATCAATGTGCTATGCTTCAGTTCTGGTGAAGGAGTAAGGCAGAAATCTATTGCGAGACGAATACTTTAGATTTTTCCAGAGATGCCTACAGCTTACAAATTCAATGTTAAAGCCAATCAAGCAGCATTCCACGTTGTTCCGTCTGGCTGTCACGCCCGTCTCATCTTGTTGTATGGCTTGCTTGCTTTGGACGTCTTGCGAGAATACAGATCCAACTTTCACGTTGTGTGGAAAAAGTTTGTCAAAGAGTTGAATCAAGTCGACGAAGTACGCAAGTTGACATTAGCTCGCGCGTGCCAAGCTGCTTCCCACATTGCAGAGAACACATCATTCTCCTTTAAAGAGCGTTTTCGTGGGTGTTTGAGTGGTATTGACGACCTGAAGTCGTGGGGACCACCACCAACTCAAGTTTCACCGCGCGCCTTGCTTGATGGCTCCAACGTACCAATATCTTCAATTGTAACTCTGAATGGGGATGGAGTAAATGAGAGTGTGGAAGATGCTGCTGAGGAAGTGATACGTGATTGCGAGGGAGTGTTAATCTTTGATGAGGGATTGACACGTGCTAATGAGAGAGTGACACGTGCAGATAAGAATGTGACAAGTGCTGGTGCTGAACCGGAAAACATTATTGAAAGAATGGAATACGTTGAAGCAAACGTGGAGCGTGCTGATGCCAAAGCGGGACGTGTTGATACTGCAGTGCAACATACAGATGTGAAATCAGAAAAGACTATTGAGAGAAGGGAACGTGCTGATGCCATAGCGGAACGTGTTGAGGTAAAGTCGGAGCGTGCTGATGGGAATTTGAAGAACACTGTTGAGGCTTCTTCTTCGAGGAATCCCGATCGAGATACGTATGTCGTGTCTGGAAATCTAGATGCTGAGCTGTTTGAGGACCAATTCCTAGTGAATCTTGTGTCCAGAATAAAGCTGAGTCGAGAAGAACGTCCACCATGGGACGCATGAAGACCCCATTGTACGATACATCGAGCCAAGCAGCGGACCATTTGGCGATTGAACGAACGAACACCTTTGGAGTGAAGACATCACAATGCTAAGACCATATATTGCAAAGTTTTGTACATTGGCGACGGTACTTATAATGGAATTTATAAGATTGTATTTCCGTCCATTTCCAGTGGACATGACGTCGCTCAGATTCTATAGTTATGGACCATTAAAACTTAAGTTGAAGGGGCGAGCAAACAGGGACAAATACTTGTTTTCCACTCTTTATTTGAACAATGCAGAAACCAAACGACTTTATATAGAGCTTGCGTCCGTAGGCAGCTGTATTCATCACTAGAAGCATAGCCGCAATCGCAATAAGGCTATGAACACAAACACCATAATGTAGACACACCCTAAATGGTATGGAATCAAAGCACAATTGTTAATGTTTGATGTTACGTTCAGTTAGATTTCCAATACGCGTTCCAATTAAAATAATGTCGCGCGGCTGTTGTCTCACTATTACTATGGCTATAGAATTGTTGATATCAAGCTTTAAATGAAGCTGAAAGAGTCTACCAATATCAACCAACTATTTGATTTCGTGTTCTGGATGTTTGAATAAGTGAATTTGTTCCTATAGCTGAGGTTGACAACGCTTCACTTCACTGGATAGGGCTTCCCATGGCAACGGCTACTTTCATATTATTGAAATTGGATCCAAAGGGTTAGTCGTGTCCGACATCGCCACCGACACCTAATGGTAAAAAAAGGGGGCGTCATATCTCCCAGTGATTGCCACATGTGTGTGTTTTCACACTTGCATCAAAGCTGAAACCACCACGGCCACAATCTGAAACAAAACAATATGAGTTCACTGTATCGCCACCAATTCACTCACCCATGGAACTACTTGTCAATCTACCCATATTAAAAACCGTTGCTTACCAAGTTGATGTTATTGGACAATTTGAAACCTTCAATTGCCATCTAAAGCAGATAGTCGCTGAGCTACTTCCCACCACAGCTTCTACGATCCTGATTGAATTGAACGCTCCAGCGCAACTGAACGTTGCTAAATTGACGCCAGCATTGATTGCCGAAGTGACAGCGGCGTTTGTGAATGAGATCGGTGGCTTTATTTATGAAGCGGATACCATCGAAAACGTTCGTAGGGTCCAGCAAATAATTAAGAAATTATACCAACTGGTGGACTATTTGGACCCAGTCGTCACTGCTACGATAGTAAGGGATATCTTCCCTCACACCAATTCCTACGGCGAGGATCTCCGGGACATTATTGACAGTTTAAAGAGTGACATGATTACGACTAATCGATTACCTGAAATCACCCGAGGTCTAGTTCGAGGCTTGTTGATGTTACTTTTGAATCTTCTTCCAACGTTAATTTTCACTAACAACGATGACATTGCCGCTTGGAAATCTCAACATTTGAGTGATCTTCTCGATCCGCCTATGGGCCCCCAACCCTCTGCATCTACTCAAGCCTACAGTGGCTACATTGCAACGGAGTGGCAGCACTACAAGCTGAATTCAAAGTCCAGGTTGGAGTCGCCCGACTTTCTCAAGGAAATTTCAAAGATGTCAAGCACGGCTTCGACAGATACAAATTTGCAAGGAACTTCGGCACACACCGATAAAGTCCAAACAACTAGCAATAGCCATCTGCAAATTATTTCCGATCACATTACTCACGGCATCGCGGCATTTACAAAGACCTTCGCAGGCTACACAAGGGTGCACCCTGATAAATTTCCACCGATGATCTTGAACACGTCAGCGGCAATGTTAAGGTATAACTTTGAGAAGCTATTGCAGCTACCCCTTGAAGATCCTGGGGCTCTAAAGGAAGAGATGATAGTAGTGGTTACATTGGTCTTAGGAGCTGTATCGACAAAAGCCTCTCTCACAGTACCTGACTGGGATCGAATGTACCTCTTCACCATGACGATGTTTGCGGTTTTATCAACTTTGGGTAAAATCATTTTTGAAGTGATTAAGTCTAAGGGTCCCGTGGCCTTCGTGGCCTCCGACGACATACCAGCCATTGTGATATCACGGCTGGTGATTAGCAAGTTCAAAAAGAAGGAGCCATACATGGCGGACGTTCCGTGGGGCCAGATCCAGGTGGAGGGGACAGGGATACTCAAGGTGGTAGATATTGGCGGGAAGTCTTTTGGAATCAAAGCTCTTTACTCTCCCAAAAGTGCAGGGAATCCATGTCTCATTCATGACCTGCTGAATAGAGTACATGAGGTGCGGATGCTGGAGGCAATCCCCGCAATTGTACCATCAAGTGATCTCCAAAAGAACGCTAAGCTTCTTCATAATGAAGATGACCCGTACGACGTTAGGAAGCACGGAGAGGGGAATGTTTACACAATGCGAGCTAGGGGTGATGTTTACATTCCATTGAGACAACTGCCCAAAGTCGCTTCGCTCATCGAAGGATGGACTTGGACAGAGACTGGAATAGTAAAGTGTGTTTCTGATACAAGAGAACAAAGATGGGGCACTGTTTATGTTGACGCGAATTCGATGCCTGAATCCTATCGGAAATATCATTTGAATAACTCCATAAGGTATCTGAGCTAGTTTATTTGATATTGACAGCTTTTGCGATGCTACTTTCGGTGATTCTGTTTTGAGAAACATAAACGCCACTGATTATCGCAAACCTCGCCATGACCGCCTACGGTCAGCTTAACTGAATTGGTTAGAAATTTCGTGTTGAGCTTGGTATAGTAAGTTCATCATAAGACACTTGTATTGTATATTGTTTGGGACCGTATTCATAACTACAACGAATTATAGGAACTATCCCTACTGAAAATTAACACAAGTGATTCGTATTTAACCTCTTTTAGCGACATACTTCACAACACGATTTTTTCCTTGTTGGTGAAGTTCATACTGAAGATATGGCCGTTGGCTCGCACCAGCCACACGCGGCTGCAGCCAGTGTTTTAGTCAGGCCAAATGCGGCTAGTGAAATTTCGTTTACGGCTACCAAGCGAGCCCACAACCACACAAAGAAAACTGTCGATCCTACAAATTTGGTGTCATTGCCATCACTTGCGCATAGTTTACTCGGTGGTAATTCTCCAGCATATCACTCGATTGAATGGTATGGTGAATTGTGCCAAACGACTTTGTAGACGATAGAGTCACGTGACACACTCGCGATAACGATAATAACGAGGAGATCATTACCACTAACGATTATGGGAGAACCACTAACTCGTGAATGGATCTGAAAATGGATCAATGTGTCTATCACTAACTACAATGGTTTTATTTTAATCAGATTGACGTCTTGTTTCGAGTCGGTTGAATGCCCTTTGTCTCATCTCGCGTTCGCGGTTTGTTCTGCGTTCGCTAGACGACGAAAGCGACAATGGAAGGAGGCTTAAGCGGGGAATGGAATGTTCGATGGTCGTGTTGCTGCTGCTCTTTTGTTGTTAAAATTGTGAAAACTTTTGTGGAGCATCGCCATCTTTCTTCACGACGCCATGAGATTTGAAATGACCCACCACGCCCCGGCTTTAACTCCAAACTTGCCTCAACCTAGCGAAGTTGAGCTGATTGCTTCCACGTTGGTTGAATCTGAATTTGCCACTGACGCCTTTGAAACTGAGATTGATTGGGAAACGGAAACCGACACTGACACCAGCTCGGAAGCGGGCACCGACTACGACTCCGACGTTGAAGGCGAGGTCTTCACAGCGTTTATCACGTTACCTTCATTGCCTCCGGTGCCTCAAACAATGGAAGAATTGCTCGTGGCGGCGGGCAGACTCCTCGAGATGTCGGCGGCGGCGCTGCGGGAGGCGTTGGCTGACCCTGCTCGTGCTCGTGCTTTTAGCCCTGGCACTGGACACTATGTCCAGCCACCACCGGTGGTGATGCCACCGAGATATGAACCCATGGACCAGACGGCGGCGACGGCGTATTTGGACCAGCGGTTGGCGGCGTTGAGCCGGCTGGTGTCGTATGGCGAGGCGTACCGGAAACGTCTTCTTGGCGGTGGATGCTGGCAGTACCCGCAAATGCTTGATGATCATGCTTCCCGACAACGCCGGAGAGACCTTGAAGCCCTCCGCGCCCAGAACATGGCCTCGTACCGAGAGGTGATTGAAGTGGTGGAGGCGTTTAAGTTGGCCCACCCGGAGATGTTTTCAAAGAAAGAGCCGTCTCAGATCAAGGGCAAGTTTTGATTGACTGAGTGAGTCGATATTTTTGAAGAGTATATGAGCTACGTATGAGATTTAAGTAATGAGACAAATGTAAGAAAAAGACAAATGCTGAAGAGTAATCATCATAGGTATATGTAGAAGATTTTGTCTTCACACCCTCATCAAAGAGTAGCACATAGACTATTTTTCCAGTCTTCTTTGAGTCCAAACAATTGTAGCCTATATCTTCAAAGTTCAATATTAAAAGTCAGGGGTGTGATCAGCATCAAACCAAATCTGCTTCAATCGGTCGTATGACAACATATTCTTTGACACTCTCAGTTTACCTAACATTGAGGTTCTCTTCCAACACTAGTACTTACATGGGTACAGTCAAGGCCCATCCAATACTCGCTTAGTCGTCTTACATATCATTCAAAGAGTCTAGCTCTTTGTTATACCATTCCTGAATTCTCCATTGATTAAGCCTGTGTTCCTGTCTTAGTGAACTCCAGGCACGCGACGCTAGCGACGACCATTGTGGGGGAACACTCCAGCAATTGACCCCCCTCTTGAGTAGCTTCGATATCGGTAGTTAGTTCCGTAGTTTATCTCTAATTTTCTACACTTTAAGACTCCTTTGATTCAGCTCATTTGTTTTGGTGGTTGTTGCTTTGGTATAGCTCTCATTGGCAGTGCTCTCACTAAACACCGGGAACCACCAGCTACAACTTCAAATTTAGCCACCAATAATCGCCCCGCTCATCTATATAAAGCATTCTTGACCCCACTATAGTACCCTCTTCACCATTAGCTCATTTCTCTCCCTTTCTGGCTATATCCGTCGTCAAGCTTATCGCCGCGTTCGTCATCGCGACACCATGGCTGGACCCATACGACAGAGAGGCCACGTTGCCGTCGTTGGCGCCGGTGTTTCCGGGTTGTTTTACGCCTACTTCCTTACCCGGTTCCGTCCCGATATTGCCATCACTGTGTACGAGCGCCAGGCCCGTCCTGGCGGGTGGATCCGCTCGGTGGACGTCACCAACAACAGCGACGATAACTCCATCAGTACACCTCCGATCTGCTTCGAAAAAGGTCCCAGAACTCTCAGAGGTGTCTCTAGTGGTACCGTGCTTATCGTGGACACGTTGCGCCAGCTAGGCAAGCAGGACGAGGTGATGGTGCTTCCAAAGCAACTGGTGGCTAATCGCAAGTATGTGTGGGGATCCAAAGCCAATAGACTTGTGCCCGTGCCCAATTCGATGAGGGAGCTTATACCGTTCCTTAAAGGTACGGGTTTGGCCCAGTTAGCGGTGGCAAAGGGGTTCTTGCAAGAACGGAAGAAACCGGTGGAAAAAGACGATGAAAGTGTTGGCGATTTCTTTAAACGGAGATTGGGGACTACGGCCTTGGTGGACAATGTCCTCTCCGCCGTATTGCATGGCATTTACGCCGGTGACGCCAATAACTTATCGGTGAAAGCATTACTCCCCAAATTGAAACAGTGGGAAGCCGACTACGGGTCGTTGCTGGCGATGGCTAAATCCAAGGTTGGCTTGAAGTTGAAACCGTTTCGGTTGCGTAAACCTCCAGCGCCATTGATGCCGGAAGTGATTGAATGGTATAAGGGGATTGCCGATACCAATATGGAGAAGTTGGCCAAGGAATTGAAGCAGTACCCGATGGTAGCGCTTAAACTGGGTCTTGAGACGTTACCCAAGGCCTTATTTCAGTATTTAAGCGAGAGACCGCAGGTTAAATTCGTGTTCAACGCCGATTTGAAAAGTGTCACTTTGGACGGTAAAGTCGATGGAAAACAGTACGACCACGTTCGCTTGACCACTAACGCCGATAGTCTTGCCAAATTGATTGATAATGCCGAGTTACAAGCGGTATTCACCCAGTTGAAGAGCGTGGACATTTTACTTATAAATATCTATACTGCCGACCCCTGGCTCATTAACCACCACGGGTTCGGGTTCCTTGTCCCCCGTCTGGCTCAGCCTAACCGTGAAGGTCTTTTAGGCATTATATTCGATCTGGACGTCGAGCAAAATGTCCGACCATTCTTTCCTAATGCGGAAAAACGCAATCCCGAGGCTAGCGATAAAGATAACGCCATTAAGCTTTCTCGTGCCACTAAGCCGTACCACAAAATCACCTTGATGATGGGGGGACACTATTTCACCGGCGCTACCCCGCTGGAGGCGGAAATACGCCAGCTGGTGTGCCTGGTGCTCACCCGCTACTTGGGCGTCGACTGTGGCGCCCGCCGCTTTGTCTATGTCGCCGACAATACCGATGCCGAGAAATCGGTGGCCATCACGCCCACAGACGTCGTCATCAGCCCCAGTTTCAACCGCCAGTGCATCCCGCAGTACCACACCGACTACCCCAACCAGCGCCAGTTTGTCCACGATACGCTTCGCCAGACGAAGATATCGATTGGCGGCATGGCCTACGGCGGCGGCGTCGGCGTCCCCGACTGTGTGTGGCTGCTGTTTGACGCTGCCGCCGCCCATAGCTACGCCGAGTGTCCTCAGGAGCCGGTGCTTGTCTCCCAGGAACAGGCCCAGATCGAGGCGGCGGCATTTGCTGAGCCCCGAGCCACCACTGCCGCCGACGATGTCGCCAGCCAGCGCTACTTTGAGTGATAACTCGACTGTGGCGCCCCCGGCAGGTATCGCCGAAAACTGTGGCGCCACCCCCCTGGGTCACATAAATATATCGGGGAAAACACCTGATCAGACCAATTGTTTCACTCCAGTTACATGACCAAGCTTGATATCAAGAGTGTGGGGATCATTGGCGGCGGCCCCGGCGGCCTCGCGGCGCTCTACGAGTTTTTGCACACTAAGGCCGACGGCACCCTGACTGTCGGCAAGGAAGCGGCTGATCCGCCGGCGTTTACCACGGTGGACTTATTTGAACGTAAGGGAGCCGTGGGTGGTATCTGGCTGCCGGGACAGGACAAGCCCGACGCGTTACCCGAGCAATTGAGCGATGACTATAACCAGCCCGATGCCATTTGGAAACTGCCGGAAGTGCCGGAAGATGTCGGAAGTGCTACCGAAGATAAACCCCTCGTCACTGAATCGGGAGCTGACAAGCAAAACTGGCAACTGCTGGGAGTGTTCCCCGGTTTGTTCACCAATATTCCCCTGCAATTTACTCGGTTTTCTTACTTGCCTGATGAGCCTGAGTACCACGACAAGACGCGGCAAATCTACCCTTTCTTGACGTTGGAAGAACAGCAGAAACGGTTCTCTGATTTCGTGAAAAGAGAACACCTTGACGACCATATCCACTACTATTCTGATGTGGTTAAGGCGGAGAAGGTCGGCGATAAGTGGAAGCTTACCATCCACCAAACCCTGCCTGAAGACAAGGGTAAGCTGAAGTGGTTTACCAAGGAATACGACGCCATTGTTGTGGCTAACGGACACTATACCGTGCCCAATATCCCTCATATTGAAGGGCTTCAGCAGTTCCACAATGCCCACCCTGGAGCCGTGCTCCACGCCAAACTGTACCGCGGACCTGATCAATTCAAAGGGAAACGGGTTTTAGTGGTTGGCGGTTCGATTCTGACGGTGAACCAGCTTCAGTATATTGTTCCTGTGGCTGAACTGACGGTGGTCAGTCGCCGTGGCCCTCACATTGTATTTGAATGGATTAACGATGCTATCAAGTCTAAGGGTATTACCTCTAAACCGGCCATCTCCAAATTTGAAGAAGACGGCACCGTGGTGTTTTCTGACGGTTCTAAAGAGGAACCGTTTGACTACGTTGTTCTTACCACAGGGTACCACTACTACTACCCGTTCCTCAAAGACGACACGTTCCTTCAAGTGAAGCTGCCGCTGAACTTGCTGAGAGTTTCAGGGTTGTACTACGATACTTTCCTGATTGCTGACCCTACTCTCGGCATTGTGGGAGTGGCGGTACTGTCGTTGAACTTCCACACCATCGAAGCTCTGGCGGCTGCCCTTGCCGGTGTCTGGTCTGGCGCTACTCAATTGCCCCCTCCCTCGGCCCAGATTGAGCGGGAACAGCGGTGGATCGATTTAACTGCCGACAACTTGTTGTTCCACTACTACCGTCATTATGACGTCAAGGACGAGTTTGTCGACAAATTGAAGCCGTATGCCGCCAAAGACCGGCCCTACGTGCTTCGCGAAGACGGCTACTACATTCCCGATATCGCTAAAGGGTTCAAGTACCAGAAACGTCTCTTTTATGGGATAAAAGACGGTGACATTCCCTTGGAAGAAACTGTGGGGGAAGTGGGCCGCTTGGAGAAGCCAGTATACGTGTTGTAGACATTTAGTTAAAATAATTCTAATTTCTTTGAAACGCTTTAATTGTTAGTGTTAGTAACTAGTGGGGCTCACTAGCATCAGTGCACGTGGATTGTGTCAATAGAAGCCAAGCCAGAGTGCTCGGCAGTTACGGAAGCCGCGGAAGCCTGATGGTGTTCGTTTGTATATGGCTTGGTGGTCTAGTCTTTCATTTAACCAGTCTAAAATACTGATAATAAGCCCTTTTTCAATTTTTGTCTGATTTGAGTGAATATTTACTATTGTGAGTGAAATTTTTCAGACATTGAAATTTTTCACCAAAAGTGAGACAAAATACCACAAGAAATAAGTCTTTAATATTTTGTCAATCACAAAAGAAACTAGGCTGATCGTACTATTTTGCGGTGCTTAAACACCATATTGCTAACCAGTTTGCTTCGATGGATTCCTAACTAGTGGTAGTTGCTGGTCACTGACACCTGTCTCCTAGTCGTTTCGAAACATAATGTGAGCATTTGCTGGCTAACAACAGCGGATAATAGGCTTGATCTACATGGAGTAAGGGGGTTAAACAATCAGTAGTTTCAGTAGCTCGTTGGTTCTAGCAATGATAGCAGTCTCACCACACACTAACCACTTACCCCTTATGAGTCTAATTCCATATCCAGCTACACCCATGATCTAGCAGTAACGGTCGGGTCGTATCCCTTTTTGTTGGGGCCACTACCCTCACAAAACCCTAGTCTCCAAATTGCCTGTGAACAAGCAAAGGCTGGTGAGCACCCGGAGATAGCGTCCCATCTCCGGGATTGCCGAGCCCCGAACCGAGGCAATAATTCACAACAGTCCTACGCGAGCCTCGCCAGTACTCAAAGCCCCGTTACTCCAGGGTTTCCCTGACACGTTTCAGGCCCAGTTTCAGACCCCATTTCAGACCTAGGCCCGTGTGTGGTTGCTTGAACGGGTGCCCTTTTGTGCGCCAGCTTTACTAACGGAGGGCACGGGCCCTGGCGCTGCGCGCTTAGCTCGGCCCTGACTAAGACGCACCCGCACACTACCAACAACTTGACGACTCCCGTGGCGGCGTAAGCGTTCTCGAGAACATGCGAGCGTCGAGCGACACCCTCCTCTACCAGGAACAGCACGGCGTGGTCCAGGCGCTGCTTGGCGACCACGGCATCGACCTCCACTCGCCCCCGCAGCCCCAGGAGCCCCCCACCCAGCTGTGGTGGCTGTTTTGCACCCCGAAGTCGGCGCCGCTGGCCCCGACGTTCACGGGGCGGTTTATCCCCTACCACGACATCGTGTGGTGTGAGCGCATCGAGCTGGGGGTGTACACGCTTCGAATCGTGTTTGAGCACCGGGTGGTGGCGCAGGCGGTGGCGATGGACGCCGACGACGACCTCAGTGAAAAAGTGTTGCAAATGGCGTACGGCGAGCTGATAATCAAACCGAGGGTGTTGGTGGTGGTTAATCCCCATGGAGGCAAGGGCCACGCCAGCCACATCTACCATAAACAGGTGCTCCCCGTGCTCAGAGCCGCCCACGCCCAGGTGACGTTTATCGAGACCAAACACGCCGAACACGCCACCGAAATCGCTAAGGACTTGGAGATTGCCAACTACGACTACATCGCATGCTGTTCAGGCGACGGGATCCCCCACGAGATCGTCAACGGCCTTTACTTGCGCCCTGACCGCAAACAGGCGTTTGACCAGATCGCCATCACCCAGCTCCCCTGCGGCTCGGGTAATGCGATGACGTGGTCCACCCACGCCACCAGTGACCCTGTTGATGCCACATTATCCATGCTTAAGCTGACACGGGTCAAAGCCGACGCCATGGCCGTCACCCAGCTCGACCTCAGCGGCAACCCCGTCACCAAACTTAGCTTTTTGACCCAGACCTACGGGATCATCGCCGACGCCGATATCGGCACCGAGCACTTACGGTGGATGGGGGCGTTGCGTTTCGATATCGCCACTGCCAAAGGTATCTTGGCGCGAGCGACCTACCCCTGCGACCTCTACGTCGACTACGCGTGCAACGACAAACGCGAGCTTGTGCGGGCGCTGGCGCCGTCGGCCCTGGCTCCGTCACACCCGAAACCGGAGGCGACCGACTACACGTTAAGAGGGCCGCCCTTGGATAAGCCCGTCCCCCTGCTGTGGTCTAAAGTGGCGGGAACCGATAAGCTCAACGTGCTCTATGCAGGCAAGTACCCGTATATCCTGAAGGACGTGTTGTTCTTCCCCACAGCCCAGCCGGACGACGGCACCATCGACTTGTTGCTCACATCCACCGAGATCTCGGTGATGGACATGAACGGGATGTTCTCCAAGGTGCACACCGGTGAACACATTTACCACGAGAAAATGGGGTACTCTAAGGTGTACAGCTACCGGCTTGTCCCCCGCGTCCACGGGACCCACTACCTTAGTGTGGACGGTGAAAGCTTCCCCTTAGAAACGTTGCAAGTGGAAGTATTGCCTCAAGCAGTGACGGTGTTGGTGCACCCGGAGGGGGTGAATAATGCGAAATTCATCCGCAAGACTTAGACGCATGATAGACTATAGACAATAATACGTATTCCGAGATTTGGTGACGAGTAACATTTTACATACGCGGTGTTTATTTGTACTGCATATAGTGATAGATCACCCACATAGCAAGCTACGTCAAAATTGCAGTTGGTGCAATATAAACGGTATCGAAGGTAGCTGCATCTCCTACGATGCTAACGAGCCCACTCTCGTGGCGATAGCCCCTTAGACGGTGGCACTACACCTCGTCTAAAGTTTTAGTTCAAATTAAAAAAAAAACTTGAAAAGCGTGACTAGAATCGTACTCTCTGACCTCATTTATTTCTCGAACCAGCCAAGTTGAACCATAGGTGTGCTAACAAATGTTACTCACAAAAGTGTAATAAACAACATATATTGTCGGCAACTAATGGTGTTCGAAAAATTTGCCATTCTCGAAAAGTGAACAACTTCTTTGAACTTTTTTTTTTTCATCTGAAATTTATAATTTTCCAATTCGCCATATCTCGATCTTTTGGGTTTCAATATTGACTATACTGGCCACGGTGAACACAATGAGTCTACTCTTATCGTTACACGATGTGAACTCGTGGCGTAGTAGAATCATGAAAAAGCTACCAAGTTCACCGTGTGTACTTAATGGACTGCATATAAAACAGCAGTTGGCAATTTGCATACTTGACGATCTTAGACGCATTTGGCGATGTAAGGCAACAAGCTCCATAAAATCGTTAATTCTATATCTTTCGAAACATCTACTTATGATTTTTCAGATTCAACTTATGACTAATCCCTTCAGTTGTATTTTTTATCTCGGTGATACACCGATCATAATTGAAAGATCTTTTCAAAAGTTGACTGGCGATGGGTTTGTATACGTGGACGAGGTCGGAGTCAAACTGGTATAATTAGAAGAAACTAATACCGACCCTCACAGTGTCGATAGTTGAAGATTACAAGTATCTGTGCCTATCTAGAATCTGGCAAGCGTCTGTTGGTTAGAGGATAGTACTCGTTTATAGTGAAATCTATTTGAATTTAACGGAGTCACATTCACCTGAAGCTCGATCAATGACGAACACCCTGCATCTCTAACACGTATTCCTTGCTTATAAGATCTTCGTGTATCAACTAAATCAGTTGGTCAAATTCAGTTGGATCCTAATTGACTCAATCGTCTGATTGTAGTCTCTTGAATCTAGTGTACATCTATTATAGGTCTATTATTTATCCTCTTCCTCCGACGCCAGCGCCTCCAACTGGTCCTGCAATTGTTTAATCAACGCCAAAAACTGGCCCCGGGCTTGGAACAGGTCGGCTTTTACCGCCCCTAAATCCATATCGACCTCGGTATCGTCGGTTTTGGCGGCGATAAGCTGGCGAACGATGAGGGCCAGGTTGATGATCACGTGGATGCCGCAGTCGTCGAAATTATGTTGTTGATCACACTTCATCACCTCGACTTTTAACGGCTTTGACGTTCGAAGCCCTAAATTACACCGAAGTAATTTCTGAGCCATTTGTCCGAATGCTGGTGGTAAGGGCTCTTCACTCATCAGATCATAGACATAAAGCACGTGATCAACCACCAGTAACACCGTAAGAGCCCAGTGGTCGCCGTCATTATCGTCGTCGGCGTCGTCTTCTTCTAGTACATTTATCGGTAGAAACACGACCTCGGCCTGGTCAAGTTCCGGGGGTAATAAATCTTTAGGGTCCATCGGCAGGTACATAAGCAAGTGCACCACCAGCGGCCACACCATCTGCACCAATTTGTCCATGCCGTGGTGCTGTAAGAGCGCCAGCATCATTTCGTAAGCTAACGAGATATCCAGGTCGTTAAGCCATTCGCCGGGTAAAATGTAGTCAATGTCCTCTCGGTACACCGGTAGGGTACGGTACAGAAAGAGTTTATCGCTGGCTTTTGTAGAGCCGACGATCTGGCTATAGATTTGCTTTATGGTAAACTGAGTATACAGTTTACCCACAACTGACTCCGATCCACCGGAATCTCCTGAATTACCCTCGGTAGTCAATGGTTTCGCCTTCGTCTTGGCCTTGCGTTTCAGTTGTTGTTTCCGTTTGCGTTTGGATTTGGTGGTGGTAGCAGCAGAATTGGTTTCACCGTCACCAACCAGCGGAGATAGGGGCAGCGGCGGCAGCGCCACGAGACTGCCCCAAGGAAGCTCGGCTAGCCCCGTCGCGTGCTGCGGGTGCGGCAACACGTGACCCGTGCCAAAGCCAAACGTATCGGCGTCGGGGTCGTAGACGATGCCCATAATACCATCAAATTAGCGACTGTAAGCTTTATACCGGCTCAAACTCGTCCCCTGTATGGCATCGCGCGCGCGCGGTGCGGCTCCTATTACGAGCCCCGACCCCACCTTGAAAGTCCTATCTGCACACTGTTTTTCGCAGCGCGCGAACCAATGGCGCCGCGGCGATTTTTCACCACTCACCACCACCACCACCAATCCCAATAATGCAAGACTTACCGCCGATTGGGGGCTACGACCCGGTGCAATGGAAGCGCAACTTGCCCTCGCGCGGGTTCCGCGCCACCATCTACTTCTGGGGGATCACGGGGCTTATCGGCTTCGGTTTCTACCGGTTGTACCAAGGGGTCACCGAGCAGAACGAGTTGGCGAGAGAGCGCCAGTGGGCGCGCTTCCACTTGGAGCCGCTCTTGCTTGCCGAGCAGGACCGCAACGTCGCCCGCCGCTTCTTTGCCGAACAGCGCCGCCGCGACGAGGTGAAACAGCTGATGCTGCCTGAAGCTCGCGCCGAGTTTGAACAGCCGATCTACAACGACAAGCTGAAACAAAGACTTCCCAAGTACGTCGCCGGCCCCAACCCTGCTGATCAATAAGCAGCCCAAAGGGGAGTGAGCCGAAGGCGAGCGACCCGCGGGCGAGCCGTAAGGAATGACGCCTAGGGGAGCGACTCGACGTTTAGGGAAATCTTATATATGCATACATCATGATAAACACCAATAAATTGTGAATACGACTAAGCTTTTATATGTTGTATTGGATCAGGTTATGGTCTGACCACAGCTGTGACATAGTTTCTAGATTAGTTCTATGATTAGTTTCAGTTCTAAGACTACCACTAGTTTTATGCTACTTCATGTTCGACATGACTATCAGTTTCATGACTATCATTAGTTTCAAGAATATCTTAGTTTTAGGAGTATCGTTAGTTTCACGATTCATTATGTGGCTTCTCAGTAGCTTTGGACCAACTTCATAAATAGTGTGCACCCAAAAAATGTGAGTCGTTCGAAGACTAACCAAAAGGGGAAGCTAGTATTCGAGTTGAGGACTGCGTTTGAAATTAGCTTCAGCTAGAAGAGCTCATTATCAGCTACGATGGGAGAATATTTGCGAGATCAATTTCACCAACTTCAACCGAGAAAGATGTAAAAATTAGTGGTCACTAGACCACGACTAATCAAGATCATCAACAGTTCTTGAAATCAAAGAAGATTAAGACGCTTGAAAAGAAATTGAGTCGAATCAGAAGAGGGCTAAGAAATCTTTTAATTTCCCTTCACCCTTCAATACTTCACCGACCAAACCACCCAAATCTTTGCGAGATGAAATTGCAACGCGGCAACCATAGTTTTTCTTACGGTGGAAGTAGTTGGTTACCACCTGAAACCAATCATAATAATATTGTCTAATCTTGGTCTGATGCACCAGTGAATCGAGCCAGCCAGCACTGTCCCAATTGAGATTACTCCATACTATACAGACGTATGATCCTCCACCCGCTCTTAACCTTTCGGTTCCAGGCGTTTGGCAACAAGGCGTCGCAACTGCTCTCCTACTTCTACTTCTAGGTGCAGAACAATACCACCTCTCTACATTTGTGATCGTCCCAGCCCCCCGAAGGTATTTCCCCGAACGTCACAAAATAACACATTTAAGCTTTCGCACCCACAGCACAAGGGAGCGAAACGTTACCAGCGAATACGAGAAAGTAGCAGAGGAGTGTATGTTAAGTAACATTGGTGATATTGGTAGTTCTAAATGATAGAATTAATTGGTAGTATTTATTGGTTTCAAGCACACGTGATGGCTGTTTCAGGTTGAATACTAAATTTTACGACAGTTTAAGAGTTCCAGACACCGGATCGGATACCACTGGATCTTGCCTTCCCGTTGGTGGCGTTTGGTGGCTTAAAT